ATGGGAAGGGGGGAGAGGTTGGAGGGGATCAAGGACGAAAGGGAAGACGAGGGGAGGGTAGAACAAGACTCCAGCGAGATGGAGGAGGAGGAGAGGGGGAAGGATGGGGAAGGCAGTGGTGGTTCTGCAGAGGGGGAGAGAGTGGGCTGTGGGGTGGACATGGGGCGAGTGGCAGACGGAGAGCCAGAGGGTTGTCTCCCTTACCCAGAGGGTCTTCAGGACGCCAGGAAGGCCCCGAGGAAGAACTCAGCCCCTTCCAGCCAGATCGCCCACGCCCTGTTCAACCAGCCGCTCAGCCAGGAGGTGGACGCAGACTCCGGCTCGTCCTTCGGGGTGGAGGACGTGGACCTGAATGGATCCTACTACCAGAAAGAGCCCTTCCAACTGGACGTTGCTCGAGAGCGATCTCTCACCATCTCCTCCTCCCCCTTCCGTCACTCTCCCTTCTCCTACAAGCCCAAGACCCTGGACCAAAACCAGAACGCCTCCCGGCCGAGGCCCCTCTCTCTCCTCCAGCACTCCCACTCAAACTCTCTCCCCCCGAAACTTCCCTCCCTCTCCCTGTCTCTTTCTCCTACACCCCCATCTTCCCCTTCATGTGCCTCTCCCCACTCTTCATCCTACCTCGTCCCCCGTCCTAACACACCAAACTCCACCTCGCCCTCCCCCTCGCTACGCACACCGTCCTCAACTTTTAACTTTGACATTGCCGAGCCAGCAGGACCTCAGAAGAACCGTCCTTTATTCTCACTGCCTTTAAATGCCCCCAGAGATGAGTTGTTACCCCCCCTCGACCAACCCCTTCCCACCAGAGACTGGGTCACTATTGAAGGAGACTTTGTCCTGGTCCTGGCTCTTTATCAGTCCCACCTCGGGGCTGATCTTCATGCTGCACCCCAGGCCAGGTTTGACGATGGGCTGATCCACCTGACCTTTGTGCGGGCGGGGATCTCCAGAGCCACTCTCCTGAGACTGTTCTTCGCCATGGAAAGAGGAACCCACCACTCCGTGAGCTCGCCCTATGTGAGCCACATCACCTGCAAGGCCTTCAGGCTGCAGCCTCTGTCCACACGAGGGACCCTCACTGTGGACGGAGAACTGGTGCCCTATGGGCCTCTTCAAGCGCAGGTTAGCAACACTTACTGACTGTAGTTTATGGGATATGAATCTGCCCAAAAAGCATTTATTAGTGTCTGGGAAAGAGCGAGAAACAGTCAAAATCCCTAAAACGATTGTATCTCAAAGTAAAAGTGGACCTATCATGCTATATTTGAATAATATAGTGTAGGACCATACCTATATAAGGCATATTTATACTTTTTTTTTTCTCAAAATACCAAACAGATCATGCATTTTAGCCATGCCTCATTTCGCTCAATTTGCACTTATTTAGCTCTGTTTTAGCAAGGGCTGATTCTGTGAGAACAGCACCATCTACAGGCCTGGCATATGTACTACAACGTCTCCAGCGCTTTCGAACGGCAATGGCCGTGGTTGTCTCCTCCTGATTGGTGGAGTTGGCCCAATAGCCGTAGCGCCACCGTCCTGACGTCAGGACCGTGTTCAAATCTGGATCAGTTTTTATCAGATCCGTTGCAGCCCTTTTTTTTTAGATTTGGGTATGGAGGAAAATAGAGAGGGTTGTGTTTTCTGACACTTGGTGAGTTCCCTGGAACACCGGGGACACATATTCATGTATAAAAGACGTACAAAAGTGCATTTTGCATGATAGGTCCCCTTTAAGTTTTTAACTTAATCACACACATTTAAACTACTACCTTCTTTTGATAACTAACTAATGATTTGTGTATCACTTCCATTCACTGGAAACCTCTGCTTTAGATCCAGCCATACATAATTTGCATGTAACTGTAATATTCCTTATAGGACCTTATAGTAAATCAATAACTGTATTTAATTTGTAATTTGTTTTTAGCTATGATGATTAACACCAGGCAGAATTTAGCAAATTAGTTTTATTTAAGCTTTTAATCATAATTTCATTGTTAATTATTCAAACAATTACTTTTCTCCTAATTTCTTAGGAGATTTGTTGTTGTTTTACAGATGTACTTTATGCTTTTATTAATGCTGTCAAGTTATGTTAATTTGTTAAAGTGAAACGTGTCATTAGTTATAATTGACCTTTTGTATATTTCACAGGTTCATCCCGCCTTGGCTCGTCTCATCGTTGGTGACTCTGGAGTGAAGATTACCAGATTCTAATCAGGGATTGGTTGAGCAGATTGATGGACACAACACTCTACTGAATTATGTAATCTCTGTTTGTCATCTATACTCTGAAAGAGGGCAAGCATCTGAGAGAGCCTGGATTGCAGAAACTGCTTTCCTGGGGTTTAATGTAGGGATAACCCACCGAGCCACGCATCAATGGAGCATGACTGCAGGGAATAATAGCAAATTTGAAAATGGATGGAAAATGCGCCTCATTGCACAGCTGTTGGATTACGCTCAGCGTGGAAACTGCACAGCCTGGGATAGTAAGAGGGAAGAACAATCGAATGTTTAGGGTTTTTTGAGTGCAGATAGTGCATGTGTTGGATGTATACGTAGTGGTATGCATGCAGAGAAGCACTACCTGAATTTTGCCTTTTAATGAGATAGAAAGATCAAATTAAGAGAAATGTGTTCTTTAACATGCTACAACAAATACACTGAGATTCACTTGGGCCAACATCCCAGTAAAATTGGCCCCAACCTTCTTATCTTTCCGACCAAATGTCAAAGTATAAATCTTCCGTCCATGAAAGGAATGCCTTATCTGACACTGGACAGTACAGTTGTACCTTTGCCCTTATTGCTCTATGTTATAAAATAAACACAAATATTCTTAATGTCTGTCCACCTAGCATAGTGTCCGTCCACTACATCAAAGCCAAGCTACGCTTATATACTCAGACATAATGGTAGACCCACCAAACTACTGTTCTCTTTAGAGCACACTACACCAACTGCTTTAAGCATCAGTGGAGAAAATGTTGAGAAATGTACACTTTAATGATGTCAATGCAAGTGACTCAATGTAGAGCAGTGCCATCAAGCTTTTCAGGGTTAGTTCATTAGTATGAGCAGAGGAGCCGTTGAGCGGTGACCATTACTGACATTTGAAAAATAATCTGTCTGTTTTTTTTTGTGCCAGTGGATGCACGATTATGATGTCAATGTTATCACAATTTACAACATATTGAACTAGAAAATGTCTGAACGTAGCAAGCTTCAGTGGTTTTAGACAGAATTTTAAAGAAATGTTTCAGAATCACACTGATCTCTTGAATATATATCACTATCTCTGAGTAATTGGAAGTTTAGAGGACATTACTTGTCTCTGTTAAATAGCAAGTAGTGCATTTAATTTGCACAATAACTGGAGTTGAAGGAATACAGAAAATCACAACACTATAATGCTTTGTAATGTTTAGATACATCTTCAGAGTTTCGCAGAATTTGACACAATTCTAGAAAATGGATGCACTTGTATTAATAGCCGAGTCAAGATACTATAATAAATTGTTCGCATTGCAGTCCTAGCCTGAAATATTTATTGTCTCGATTTGAACAGTTTTTGAATGGTAGAACAGACTCATTACAGAATCATCATTCATTTCAAAGTCCTTTCGTAGAGACAAACAAGGACCCAACACTAAAATCCAACGGACTTATGACCAAGAGATACATTAAAATGGACACAAAACAACTTTCCCTTGAAGAATCACCCTGATGGATTGGGTTTTGAATGGAACGTATCTTGAGAACATGTTTCAGATGGTTATTGGCTCCTCAGTGAAACCAAACCACAGATACTGGAGCCCATAATAGGAATTGTCGTTTTTTTATAAATTATTTTTCTTAAATGCAATATTAAACCCTGCTGATATTCTTGATCAGGAAAAAGGATTAATAAAACCATGTGCAGTGTATCAATCAGTACGATTATGTGCCGCTTGCTTGGGTCATCGTCTACATACTGTATGTCCTGGTCATGCCTGGACAAATCAATGCCTTTGTAAAAATAAGCCTGTAAATGCTGGCTGCTGATCATGAACTGTTTAAACCTGACTGCTGAAAATTGAGTAAAACTCTTTGCTCACCAGGCATTTATTTTTCTTCTTTTCTTATTATTTGTTTTCTTCAGAACGCACAATTCAACTTGACTACCACAACTACTCTGCTCTCACACAGCTTCATCATGTACATACACACTTTGGGTTAAGGCTTGTAACAGTACCAAATAGAACAAAATACTTTCACTTTCATTACGTTTTATACCAAAAAGTTAGCTCTCAATGCTAAGTAATCTAGCTCGCATACCTGAACCATGTTTTGTCTATGGCCATAGCGCAGTGAGGCACATTTAATAGGACAATGTCGGGTACAACCTATGGTATAACCCTAAATTGATAATGCTGTTAAGATGTCTGTAGTGGACTGCCTGTAATGAAATTGTAATTATTAATAAAATAATGTGAATATATGAAATATGCACATACACAATGTACAGTTATTAGTTATATGTGATTTTTGAATAAATGTAACCTGATGAGTAACCAGTGAGTCTTTAAATCTATATAATACAATCAGTTTCTTTTATCAGCAATCTTTATTTCATTCATTTTAGTTTATTAGCATTAGTGTACCAAAGAGAATATTGCCACAACATCAAGTAATTCTGAGATTTAAAAAAAGGTACAATATCTTTAAAAAAAAAGAATATTAAATCATTGACATTTTTTCCATTAATAAACGAATAGATTTCCCGAGTGAAATGGCCAGGACCCAAAACAACTTTCCTTTAACGTTAATGTAATGTGTGATAGGTATAGTTTTATATTGAAAAACAACTGACCGGATGTAGAACATCGCTTCCGGTGTCGCCACCTTCTTTGTCTCCGGCCCAACATTTCGACATCAGGGGTTTTCTATTTTTTCCACCTTAGTTTTTAGGATATATTTACTTATATATCCTTACATTTCTGGATTGAATGACAGTCGACTCTGAACTATTAATGCCTAAAAGTAAAGCACCAAAAATGGATGACCTGGACTACAGTAAGTGAGCTTTCTAACGAGATATCTGCATGTCGCTAGCTAGCTGTGGCTAGTTGTAGCTACTGGTTCAGTGTATTTGCTCAGGTGTGACAGTGCTCAACCTGTCTAACATTTACATGACACATATTGACCATATACCCGGTTCTGTCTTTTCCATAAAGTGTGGGCAAACACGTAAACCACATTCAGGGTAAAATGAGCCACAGCGGTGCATTAGCTTAGCCTGACGCCAACTACATATTGATTAATGTCTCTGTGCTCGGAGCTAAGGTTTCAGCTAACCTCGATGGACATTTAACACCTTCGAGTTAAGCAAGATCGAGGTTTGCTCATTACAATTGTCCTGGTTTTGTAACCAGTAGTCTGTCTGTCTGGTGGAGTATGAATCAAACAGCACAGTGGATGCAGACTGTGGGCGTGGTTGGTGGTGTTTTAGAGCAGCTGTTAGTTTCAGACTAAACACACTGCTGATGGAGGCTTTGCGGGATCACGAATCATCATTTTTCACACACCATCGATCCATATATTGTGGGACATGTATACAAATTGTGAAAATACTCTGATAAAAGCAAAAGTCCTGCATTCAAAATCTTACTCAAGTAAAAGTACTAGCATTCAAATATACTTCAAGTACCAACAATGATGCTCAATGGCCCATTTCCGAATCATATATATTAAATTACTTTACACATTAATGTGTCTAAAGTCTACCACAGCTGGTCAATGTTGGATGATTAGAATAGCTTTATATACTGCTGCCTGATATTTAACGTATCATTTTTTATTATTATTAAAGTTTATTTAACAAATGATTTATATGTTGTATTAGCTAATACATTTAATATTAACAACTCTTATTTAAAGCTGTCAAATAAATGTAGTGGAGTAAAAATAGTGGCTTCCAAAATGTAGTGGAAGCGTAATCAGAAAATACTTATGTAAAGTAAAAGTACTTGAGTAAATGTACTTAGTTACTATCCACCACTGTTCATTTGCCAGTATATAAGGTACACTTAGCGTTACTCCAGTCTACTGAGAGAGAGCTGTTTATTCAACATTATTTATTCATGGGGTTCATCATCTGGAGACTACTGTTGTTGTTTTTTTATTTGTATTGCCTTAGGATTAGATGTGTTTCTAACATGTAGTCTTCCTAGTTCCCACACTTAAAAGTTAACAATAATTGAAAAAGCCATAGGGTGATTTACAACACCACTCCACCACAAACATGCTCCTGAGCTCCTCTTACTGTTGTGAAAGCGTGTTAGACATTGTAGGTAAAGCTTTAACACTGCGTGAAACCGGCTGACATATTTATTACATATTTATGCTGTGAGTGAATATGTGAATATATGAAAAAGGGCAGATGTCACTGCTATTTTCTTACCTAGACCACATTGAACCAAGTTATTAAAGAAAATGTATTTTTCTTACACAGTTCAAATATTTGAAAATAAAAGATACTTGTTTCAATGTAATATTGATTTAAAATAATGGTGAAATCTACCTTATTTGCATTTTAACCAGTAAAAATCAAGCTTTTCCAAATCTGAAACTGTGTGTTAGGAGTTGTAAGCTTCTCTGGGATTGTCTAGTTTTGTTAAGTCGAGGTTTATGGTCTTGACCTGAACAGGTAGAGTCAAGTTTTGGTAAATACCTTTTAGAAAGTTGCGTAACTCAACTGTAAAGTAGACTTTGAAACCACGGGAAACAAACTTTAAAATAGTTATTAATGATTGAAATGATGCTTTATAATTAAAAAGTCTTCCATTTGATTGTAACCTTTATCTACATGCTTAATACCATAATATAATGTGTATGCCTTTGTAGATGCCAAGAACATACTTTTAAAATGTGCTTTATACTTCTGTTTTACCTGTGTTGCATCTTAAATGTAATGAAATGATTGATGGAGCTGCATTCAGTGTACATGTCACTCTTCCTCACTTGACACTTTGCAAAGGGACTACCGACGGTTTGTAATGAGTCTCACAAATGACAATTAATTCACCTTTTATTATATTTATTTTGTTTTGGAAGTGGATGAAATATCAGACGAGTATATCTCTTCACCCACCAAATACAACTCAAACTAATTTCTCCGCTTGAAACCACTAGTGATGAGCAAGAAAATATATCTCCCATGATTTTGATTGTTTGTTTGTTTGTAGCCTTTATTTATCCAGGTTAAAAATCCCATTGAGATCAACGATCTCTTTTACAAGGGAGACCTGCGGTACATTGAGTTACACATATAAAAACAAACATAAAACAAAAAGGACATCACAACATAATTAGGCAGTCTTTAAACTAATCTGGATATTGAAGCAGTGAGCTGGGGTTGGCTGTTAGATTAGTCTGTGGGATAAATGTTTTATTATTAAACCTGGCTGTCGGAAACCAGTACGAACAAACTTTGCCATGATAAAAAGTTATAATTGTTAAAACAAATGTACATGTCTTCACCGAGTGTCTTCCCACTGCCAACTACAGTCGTCACTGTAACTAAACACTTCTCCCAATCCTCTCCATTGTAAGATAATGATAGATTGAGTCTTTCATGGCAACATTGAGAAACAATGCAATTCTCAAAAGAGTTGTGCTTCATGGCGTTTTATATTACTAATAAAGACACAATCTGCCTTTTGTGTCAGATTTTTAGCGCACCGTTGCAAAATGTTATTTCTGCCTCAGCAGTAATGGACTCATTCTTCTTCTCTTCCCTTACAGTCCCAGTAGACCTCAGCCCAGAGGAGCGCTCTGAGCTGGAGGACATCCGCAGGAGGAAGGGCGTCCTGCTGCAGGAGATCCAGAGACTCCGGGAGGAACTACGAGAGGCCATTATGGAGGTGGAGGGACTGGAGACCAGCACAGAGGGCAGGTAGGAAGAATAAGATGCTCAGTTCTTGCACAAGACAAATGACAAGAGCTGGCTTCTTGATCGCCAGAATGTGCGCATATTTTTATTCAACATTCTCAAATACATTATCACTTACAATTATTTGTAGTTGTCCTAAAAGCTAACAAAGCCCAGCAAACACCGGCATTTGTATTCACTTCAGATCACCATATTCAGCTGGAGTCTTACCACCTTTTATTACCGTGTCAAAATGAAACTGGTCGAGATTTTACTGCAGTCCCTGATGCTTTTTTCATTACCTTTTCAACTGTGTTCATCTTGTTTAATGCCTCCATATTGTTGCGCCTACAAGTGCTGTTGATCATTAGTTGTCTTGTCATTAATGGATATTAGTTCTTAATAAATTGTCTGGTTAAAAGTTGTCATTTTAGGTAAGCAATATGAAGGTATACGTAAAAAAAAAAAAAATTCAGTGAGAGCTTATGTTTTAATATATATATTTAATTTATTTTAAAAGAAAGGGACGTTATTTCAGATCAAATGGTGAAATGAGAATTAACAGCTTGAAGAAAAACAATGGTATTAATGTTAAGTGTATTAGGTTAAGTAAGTATTGTGATCTTTAGTGATTTGTGTTGGAGATGTGATGTAAATACCGCAAAGGCTATTTTCTCTAACATTCAAAATGTCTGCTCTCTACAGTAAAACTCTTCAGAAAAGCAGGCATGTGGCGATGGGAAGGAAGAAATTCAACATGGATCCCAAAAAGGTAAAGCTTCCATACTTCACATGTGGACTCAGCCGTCCCTCTGTCTTTACCGTGTTGTGACAGGCCCTTCTCCTCTCTGCTGCAGGGCATCGTGTTCCTGGTGGAGAACGAGCTGATCAGACACACTCAGGAGGACGTCGCTCAGTTCCTCTACAAAGGAGAGGGCCTCAACAAGACTGCCATCGGAGATTACCTGGGAGAAAGGTGCTTGGCCTGGAAATATCTTTAGACTTTCTTACCTAACGTAACAATCATTTGTAACTGTGATCTTTCTTTCTGTTCTGCAGGGACGACTTCAACCTCAAAGTTCTTCAGGCTTTCGTTGACCTCCATGAGTTCACTGATCTCAACCTCGTCCAGGCCCTCAGGTAAACTTCCTGTTTTGGGCGTTTTGGTTTGAACCAGGGACAACATGTCTTGAATAGTCTCCTGGCACAATGGAAACTCTCATTGTCACTTAAGGTTAGAAAGGGTTACAATGATGCAAGAGAGAGAGCAGTATTAACTCTGCCTTGATGCCAAATATGTTCCCTCCGACTTGAGCTAAACCTGGACCTGTTTCTGCAGACAGTTCCTGTGGAGTTTCCGTTTGCCCGGTGAAGCCCAGAAGATTGACAGAATGATGGAGGCCTTTGCTCAGAGATACTGCCACTGCAACCCCGGCGTCTTCCAGAGCACAGGTAAACTGGTTATTCTGCATTTCCTCTGAGATGATCTGTTGCCAACCTATTGTTGACTTCTCTGTGTGTGGTTGGTATCTGCCAACTTTAAAGAAAGTGCTATTTTCCTGTGATGGGTCACAGGAAGGGCACTGCCCAGAACACGTGCACTCACACAAACAAGCCCCTTACCAGAAATGTCCTCATATGAAACCCTGCAGTCTGCCAATTCCTAAACCTCACTTTTCAGTAAAAACATCTGTGTTTTCATTCATGATTTCCTTTAATTGTTTAAGAAGAGGTTTAGCAATGCCTGTCTTTTTGTTTTTAAGAAAAAAAACTCATGGCAAGGCTCGTTGCCATGATTTTGATTGAGTAGCTTTGAATGTCTGGTGTCTTTTTATGCCAGGATATACAGGAGTAGGCCTCCCTTGGGATTGGGAAGTTTGTGAATTTTGAAACAGATTTCATCTTTCTCTCTTCATTACATTTTAACTTGGACTTTATTAAAAGATAATCCTACATAGCCACCACTGGAATCTATTTTTCTAAAAATAGTATAATACCATATTAGTGAAGCCTAATCCATCCTGCAATTGTGCAGAAATACAGGGATTACGCAGAATAATAGAGCATTCAAATAGTTATTTAGACTTTAAACTATTCACTAAAGCCCAAACCTGTTGTTTTTCTCTCTAATATTAATTTAAATTGAGTAAATAATCAAATGTTTTGTGTGGAACTACAGTCTTATTCTCCTTCTCCTCCTGTTTTCAGACACGTGTTATGTGCTGTCATTTGCCATCATTATGCTGAACACAAGCCTCCACAACCCAAATGTGAGGGACAAACCCGGACTGGACCGCTTCATCTCGATGAACCGAGGCATCAACGAGGGGGGAGACCTCCCCGAGGACCTGCTCAGGGTACCATGAGATCTACATTTTGTTTTTGGAAATGGCTAAGTTACAACAAATTGAACACAATGAAGAGATGCAAGTGAGCTTACTTTACTTCTATCCTATGTGTTGTTCCAGAATCTCTTCGATAGCATTAAAAATGAGCCCTTCAAAATCCCAGAGGACGACGGCAACGACCTGACGCACACCTTCTTCAACCCGGACAGAGAGGGCTGGCTTCTCAAACTCGGTGAGATGATGCCAGGGAGGCTTTGTTGTGGACTACTTCATTTCATGTTGCCTTTGAACCCTGATCCTGTACAATTGAACACATGGATTATATCAGTGTTACAGATATCAGAAGTATTTCCATTGTGAAAAGACAGTGCTCTGTTCTGTATGCAGTGTACTTTGTTCTCTCTTGAGGCTTTGTGCTCTGATGACACGCCCTCCTGTCTCTGAGGGTTGCTGCTCTCTGCCTTATCTCTCAGCGTTGTGACATTTGAACATTGCCGTAGCATGATGGTGAACAGGATACTCACTTTCCTGCGTCATGGCAGTCTAAAAATCTGATGTTTTCTTTTGCATGGCGGGGCCTGTGAACTCTGTCACTAATAAAATCTCTTTCTCTTCCTCGTCCCCGTCTGTCTCTCTCTTTCTCTATTTGTCCTCTGTCTCTAAATCCTCCGGTCCCTTTTTGTCTCTGCTTCTTCCCTGCGATTTCCACCCTCTACTGCCGCTGCTTGTTTTCTCAGGAGGTATGTACGGACAGTTGTTGTAGTTTGAAACCGTTAGCCACGTAGTTAGCTGTAAGACATTAGAAATAGTAGAATAGTCCCAATTCAACTTTTCCCCCATGAAGGAAATCTTTTTCCCACTCATGATCATAATGAGCATGTTTTTGTGTTTCAGGGGGACGCGTGAAAACCTGGAAACGACGATGGTTCATTCTCACAGACAACTGCCTTTATTACTTTGAATACACCACAGTAAGTCGGTGCAACACTTGAGGGAATCTGCCACTCCTTGTAGATTTATCTGGTGCAGGTCGTACAGGATGTTGCTGCTCTATTTGCATTGGGTTTTCTGAGGGAAAAAATTGTTGTCTTATCTTGCAATACAATCTGGTAGTGTCTACAGTGGCAAGGCTTCTGGAAAAATGTGATTGTTTTTTAAAGGTTATTTAAGGCCTACGGGTAAAATTGGGTATTCCCATTGGCAATAATGTAATGTATCTAAAATGGGGTTATGTTACTGAACTCCAGGATTAAATGCACGACTGTGGTAATCCCCAGAAGACAAACTGGTTTGGTTCCACATTCATAATCGCAACAAAAGAGACGAGTCAGACTGGTCACATGAGGCCACATTTCAAAGACCTGCTTTACAAAACACCAGGAGGACTCCAGTGTAGCTCAGGATACCACCTTGCTAAAACTACAATTCAAACAATGAATACACAATGTGTCACTTACTGAAAGGCTGGTTTTAAGTTCTGCATCTAAGAAAAAGATACAAATCACAAGGCAGATGCATGCATTCATTTGCTATGTTGGCCGTACATTTATTGACTTTCTGAGTGAAACAACAGGCATTGAAAATAAATGCAACTGTTAATGCAGAAAAATACACATTACAGGCATTTTAATGTTGTAACTCTTTTGCCAATAATCTGCTGTTGTGTGTTTCCCTGACAGGATAAGGAGCCGCGAGGTATCATTCCTTTGGAAAACCTTAGCATCCGGGAGGTAGAAGACCCAAGGAAGCCTGTACGTTTGAATTATTGCAGTTTAGGCAAATGTTGTTATCACATAGTTCCATAACTGTAGATTTCACAACAAACTGTAACTGTTTATCTAATTAATATTCTTTCATTTTTTACAAAAAGAACTGCTTTGAGCTGTACATCCCCAACAACCGTGGTCAGCTGATTAAGGCGTGCAAGACGGAGGCTGATGGGAGGGTAGTAGAAGGAAACCACAATGTGTACCGTATCTCCGCCCCCGCACCGGAGGAGAAGGACGAATGGATCCACAGCATCAAGTATGGAAATGCAAAATATCATTATTGGAAAAGTTTGGGTAGCAGTAGACCAGTGAGAAAGTTTATCTTTATTAAATCTTTTAATGGAAACCCATTAAAACCACAATTTTAAGATCTGCCTTTCGACGTAGAGCTCTGGCTTCCAAAGTGTAGTTCAGTCAGACAACTCGCGTGTTTCTTTAACATGTTTATTAGAAGCAGCATATAGTTGAGTTTGGCGACTAGGCTCGGGCATCATCACTCCACAGATATGCATAGCACGATGAGTGATGATTAAATAACTAACCCCCGAGCCTACAGGTGGAAGCTGGGGTGGTGGTGGGGCAGGCAAGCTGCAGTGACGTAGAGGTAGCTGCAGCAGCAAGCAATGCATGGAGAGAGATCTGGCAGGTTAAATAGAGCTTCATATATTATATAAGAAGACTCTGTTTGGTTGGCTGTAGAGTGGCAAGGGGCGTTATGTATGAATGCAGCATAAGTGCTCGAGTTGACTGCCTGAACTAGCTCGCAGGCTTCGCCCCATTTGTAGTTATTTTTCAGTTTTCCCCAAGGGACTTTGCTGATGTGTCATTTTATGTGATGCAATGCATCAAAATCAATGTTGTTGCTGATCGCGGACATGTCTCAGATTTGAGCAAAAAATACCCCAAGTATTTGGTATACAGAAAATATTTGAGGTTTATTTGTTGTTGTTTTTAAAACTAGCAATTCATCCATGTATATTAATATATATTTGTAATGTATCTTTACGCCTTTATTGTCCTCTAAGGACATCAGAGCAACTCATTTAAAGTGAAGCACAAGGTGAAGCGCCCAATTTAGTTTGTATTTTGATAATCCACTCGACTCAATAGTGTTTCTTTGTTGTTTGTTTGTTCCTACAGATCTGCTGTCAGTGTTGATCCCTTCTACGAAATGCTCGCTGCGAGGAAGAAACGTATATCACTGAAGAAGAAGGAGGAACAACCGTAGAGTATTCAACTCATTCTCTACCTGTCTTCCTCTGTCCTTCTCATCCTCCTTCCAACAGGACACACATTCTCTTCCCTGCTCCTCACTACCTGTCCATAAGTTTAGTTGCTCCTCGTTCCGCCGTCCTCAAACACATCCTCTCCCTGATAAGAGGACTCCTTGATACCCTGTCTACCAGACTCTTGAACAGCTCCTTCAGAGTGAAGCGCTCCCTGCCGTGGCTGCCTCTTGTTAACTCGTTTCTTACACTACTGCTGGTATACACACCCTGACACACTACAACCAGAGCACATGGTCCGTCCCGTCTTCTCACCACTTCCCTCTCTCGTTCAGCATCTAAGTGATCTGTGCACTGGGCTTAGACCATATTCAGACTAGTGTTGGTGATTTCAGAAACAAATCTTTCCTGTTTTCCAAAATGCAGGGACCAGGAAGGATTTAAAAAGGCTATGATTGTTAAGATTTAGGGCATCCTGATTATTGTTTGGAAATCTTTTTTTCTCTATTTCCTCATAACTGCCTTGTAAATCACAAACAACACTTTAAAAAAACTGACAGCTGTTCAGCAGAACTATGTCAGGCCTCTGACTGAAGCAGCCTTTGTGCAGAAGAGGTTTAATATTTCTCTCTATGTGCTCTGGCCTTTAAGAATACTCTCTGAAAATACAATGGTGACACAAAGCCTTCTATGTTTTTGTCATCTGCATTAGTGTGAATATGGTCTTTTTCAGAGTAGCAAGCCGCTTCAGTTCTCGTGGAGTCTTCTTTCACATTTAGGATGACGCTGCCTAAATGAGAAATTGCCTTCCTTGGTTGTGTGCACCCCAGAAAAATGTGAATTCAATATTCAAATACTACAAATGTTTTTTTAGTTAAAGGACAGGTATGTAGGATTTGTGGTGGATCTATTAAGAGAAGTGGAATATATTATTCACCTTTAGGTTTTCTTTAGTGTATAATCATCACTTATCGAAATTGTTAGCTTATAATGAGCGCGTCATATCTACACAGGGTGCCGTTTCTGCCAGCTCTCGAGGGGGGCATCATGTTTTTCAGCTGGAATTTTTGAGGCGCAGCGTTGAAAGATGGAGATTAGGAAGACGAGGTTGTTGGTGCTGGCCAAACATTTGATGTATTAAGAAGTTTTGAGAACAGTAATGGAGGGTCATACTCATTATCTGGCACAAGAAAAAGCTAACAAGCGTGAATTATTGCCGCCAAGGAAGCAAAAACATAAAGAATGTGAACGCTAGATACCAATAAATCCTACACACTGGACCTTTGACGATAGTAAGAGAAGAATCCGTTTAAGTCAACGCAGCAAAAGATTTCAGATCACTGAGATGTGCCCATTGCTTCCTATACTACTCTTAATGGCTTTGACACGTATAACTACCGTCTACTCTAAACCCTACATACTGTAACCCTTATGTGAGGAAAATGTCACTGTTCATGACTGTTTGCCAAGTTACTGTTGATTTTCAATTACAGGGCAGAAATGTTGCTTTACTTGCAGTATTAATGGAGAAAGCAATTTCTCTCCTTCCAGATAGCTTTTTGTTTCAGCTCACTAAGACAAGATGTGTTGTTTAGCATGTTTCTTTACATGCTTCAGCAATAGCTGTAGGCTTGTTTACAAATCCTTAATAACACTTTACTGAGCAATGATCATCATGTCCTCTCAGATGTAATGTTCTAGCATGCCACACATATTTCTTTCCTGCTCAACACTACAAGATGAACACGGACATCTCTCTCACAACAAGTAATAACTCTGTAAGACATTTAACTGTTAGAGCCTGGACTGTCCGCTATAGTGAGTTTCATGAAGTCACAAAGGCAGCTCATTACAATGTATACTTTTTGTAAATAGATGTTAGCATATTTGTTTACGATACACATAGAAATGATTTAATTTATTTGTTATCTTTTGTTCAAATCTGATTTTTGTACGAGCTACTGTAGGACTGCATGTTGATCAACTGAACCGTCGGAGTAGGTACTGATGCATCGCTGATCATGCTAGTGCACTGATTTGAAAAGTGTTAGTGTTCCCTGTTAATACCGATAAATAGCTTTTAATATTGAGGTTGATTTAAGCATAGAGCTATTAGTCTTATCGTAGTTTCTTTTCAAAATGAGATGGTATTAAGGAGATGTTTAGAAGTCTGGTTTATTTATTTTAGAGTAAACCAGACTGTGAAGCACAAGCAGCAAAGAGTCTCAAAAACTAAAGCCCAGTTTTTGACTCAATGGCTGCCCAGAGTCCACTTGAAGTGTGCGGGGGCTTCTCACAAGCTGACATTTCCATCATACAACAGTAATTAAAATGAAGAGACAACAAAACAAGGAACACTAACAAAGCTTTGATTCATTATATAATAGTAAAGATATTCAGATGTAATGAATCAGTAACAAGTTTAGATTTGTGTCCAGTGATAGATTTGCTTGACATCCAGTTCATAAACGTATTGCTAGTTGTTTATTGAATTGGCAATTTTTAGAAGGTAGTGAAAATATGTGTCTACTGCACTTTATCAATTTTAGCATTTTGGAGAAAATGCTGTTACTTTGACTGACAACACTCCAATACTCTGTAGCACCCTCTACTGGTGATCTCACACTGCAATATGCTGAAGGACGAACCATTAACTGTGTAGAAATTACATTATTTGAAGCTTTTTCTTTGTGATGACAACATGAAGACTTTGTTTTAAAGACACAGCTGGTGATTGGTCCTTCAAATAACAGATATTGAATTGCCTTTACTCTCCTACCTTATGAAACTGACAAAGGCCTAACTGTAATCCTCCATGTTTGTGTGCTAACAAAACACACAGACTATCTGTAGGCCTCGACCTTCTGGGTATTCTTGAAGTGCAAAGTTGCCAAAAAAAACAGTTGGGACAACAAATGAACACTGAAATGATCAGACTGAAACTGGGCCTCTTCAGAAAATGTTTATTTTGTATTATTTATTTTTATTTACTGTTAAGTTGAAGATGGATAGATCATCTGTAAATGTAGCAAAAGGAAAACCATGATTCATTGGTACGAGTAAACTACTGTGTAAAAATAAAAGGTAAACCAAGATGATGTATTGCTGTTTTATTTTTTTGAAATGGGGGGCGAGGGGTTTGTCTTTATATTTAATCTGCTAGGTCAACTTTATTTATGAACCCTGCATGATCTTGTATAGCATACCAGACCTATTCTTCAAATGTTAGGATGTGAAAACCTAAGACCAAGATGTTAAACATAGTTTTAAAAAAAAATCATCCTAAAAATCCACATGTCAGTGTTAAAGGTCCCATGACATCCTTTCCGGTTATTACCCGTCCCCTTGTGTGTTATGTAGCTTTTTCTGCATGTAAACGGTCTGCAGAGTCACAAACCCTCAAAGTACACCCTGTAGCGAGTAAAACTCTAACACAGAAAAGACGTGTCTATGCTGCCCCAGAACGCCTCGTTGGAGATTTCTCTTTTTCCATTGTTTTCTTCCGGGAACCAAGTGACGTAACGACGATCCAAATGGACCAATCCGCGGAGCTCCACACACACACACTCAGCCAGCCTTATTTTTCTCAGCTGCAGCTCCGCGGATTTCTCAGCCTGGCCCGGGCCCGGTCCGAGCACACACACAGACCCACAGCCAGGCTGCGCCACGGGTGTGTGTGTGTGTGTGTGCTCCGGCCGAGCTCGGGCCGGGCCTCGCCGTGTCCCGCCGTCCCGCAGACCCCACGCAGCAACCAGGAAACAACACCAGCAGCAAGCCAGCTCACACTGTCCGCTCTAGCAGCGAGCCCTGCAACGTCCCGCCAACACGGCACCCAGACCCCACGCAGCATTCTCATCTGTTTGTCATTACTGGTGTCATTTTCTGGTTGCTAACGCCATTGTAACACATAATCACTGATGTTCCGCTGTGACGGTGGTGGACTCATCAGAACAGAGTGGGCGAGCTGACCAATCGGAGCACAGTGGGCTCACAGGGAGGGGGGGGGGGGCAGGAGCTCCAACAAGCCGTTTAGGACAGAGTGAATACACATGCTATACAGAGATGCTGTATGAGAAACCAATGTGAGTTTGGAAAATTGCACAATATACATCTATTCTAGTAGACTTCAACAATGGAATTATGATCAGTAGAAATGGCCATGACATGGGACCTTTAATAATGTTAGAATGCCAATAAATAGACTATTTATCCCACGGCACTGCTGTGTGGTCGAAGTACAGCGAAGCGAACTTTCGCTTACCGTTATTCACGCAGATTTGATCGCCTGGCCGAACAGTCGTCACGTCTCCTGGAGGGCGACCTAAACACACGATATCGCCAACATTTGAGACGATAATTATAAACTTGCCCGCTACTTACACCAATTGTTTATTTGAGAATTTGACTTAATGTCTTGGTTCAGCTTAAACTTGGATTAAATGACTCCATTTCTCACCAAAAAGCAAGCCGGTGCTCCGTGATATACCTACGCGCGCACTTCCACTTCCATCAATCTGGTAAATCTGGCTCTGTGTGTCTGAGTGGAGCCTTGGGAGTTAAAGGTGGGGTAGGTAAGTTTGAGAAACCGGCTCGAGATTGCTAGAATTTGAAAACACACAACCGGAGAAAATCTGCCACTTCCTTATAGAGCCGCTCCTCCAACACACACGAACGCGCACATGACCAATGAGGGCACGAGATAAGTTTGGAAGGCTGACAGGCAGGTAGGCCATCCAGTTATTTTAGCCGGGCCGGCTAAAATGATTGGTCGTACTTTTTACAGTATAGAGTGGCGAAGTCCCTCCCACTTACTTCCGGGGTATGGGACCTTATTTCGGAAAAATTATGCATTGAAGTCAATGGGGAGAGAGAACTTATCTTTCGATCCCGTTTGAATTGTGCCATGAATTACACATATGATGTTTGTCAATCTTAAAAAATCATTTCCATGTCAAAAAAGTCACAGTTTGTCGTAAAACTGTTGAAATATAAGACTATGAAAAATACGCAACTAGAAAGACTACAAATCCCAGAGTCGCGTAAGTGATGTCACAATTGAGACACTACGATATACGTATAATACCGTATATATACGATCAGCGCCATATAGATATAATCTATCTATATGGCGCTGGCTAAGATAAGATAACTTTAACAAGATGCCTGTGTGCTTAGTACCAGGTTGTTATTATACCAGCAATGGGTCTTGCTCGTTCTTTCGCTTCCCGTCTGATGAAAGAGGAGTGTGTGGATCAAGTTAGCTACCTAGCTAGTAGCTAGCACGTTAGTTAGCATTACAGCCTTGTCATTTTTATTAGCCTTAACATGAAGTAACATTAAGTAACCCAAAATGTTAAACAGTAAGAGTAGTAGTCATATTTCGTGAACCCTTTGAATAGTACTGTCACCGGTGTGATCATTCTATAATACACCATTTAAGCCCGGGGGAGAAATGCTAACGCTAACGTTAGCATCGGCGATCTTCTCTACTTCATGCTATCTGCACAAATGGTTGACATTAAACATTAAAACGACCAGGCAGTTCAGAGAGAATCAAAGGAAGGCAGGCAGGCAGCTTTGCATGACATTCTTCAGGACGTGTTTCATTGTGGTGATAGTGAGGGTCGTTGTGTTGACAAGACAGTAGTGACGGCCATCTTGGTGACGTCACGTGTGTTGTTGACCAGAGATGTAGTTCATTTAACGTTTCACACAAACAAATGTGTTACTTCACAGTTTTACGACACCTTTTTTTTTTTTTGACTTGCAAAATTATCTTTTAAATTGACAAACATCATATGTGTAATTCGTGGCACAATTCAAATGGGATCGAAAGATAATCTTTCTCTCTCCATTGACTTCAATGCATAACTTTTCCGAAATAAGGTCCCATGGGGCTCCACCGGAAGGGGAGGGACTTCGCCACTCTATTACGGCTTCCACAGATGACATTTTTTTAATGGATTTTTTGTCAAAGCACTTAAGATATTCATTGCTATCGGGATGTTAAGAGCATTCCATGGAATATAACAAAAAGTGTATCTCAAGCCGGTTTCTCAAACTTACCTACCCTACCTTTAAGTAGTTTATTGGGTTAGTTAAAGGGGACCTATCATGCAAAATGCACTTTTGTACGTCTTTTATACATGAATATGTGTCCCCAGTGTTCCAGGGAACTCACCAAGTGTCAGAAAACACAACCCTCTCTATTTTCCTCCATACCCAAATCTCTAAAAAAAAGGGCTGCAACGGATATGATAAAAACTGATCCAGATTTGAACACTGTCCTGACGTCAGGACGGTGGCGCTACGGCTATTGGGCCAACTCCACCAATCAGGAGGAGACAGCCACGGCCATTGCCGTTCGAAAGCGCTGGAGACGCTGTAGTACATATGCCAGGCCTGTAGATGGTGCTGTTCTCACAGAATCAGCCCTTGCAAAAACAGAGCTAACATTTTTCAAATTGAGCGAAATGAGGCATGGCTAAAATGCATGATCTGTTTGGTATTTTGAAGAAAAAAAAAGTATAAATATGCCTTATATAGGTATGGTCCTACACTATATTATTCAAATATAGCATGATAGGTCCACTTTAAATTATAGAGTATTAGGTACTGGCTTTGTCAGTCAATGGTCTGGATGCTATTTAAGTTTAATATGTTTACCAGTTTTGTGTCAAGATTGAGATGTATGTTCACAAATATGAGGAGCTGTTTTTCAGACTTTTATTTACACTGTCATAACATTTAAAAAAAGAAAACACATCCACAACGTAACATCAAAATCTAACGGCCTAAATGTTCTATTTACAGTACATTGACAAATATACATTCAAGGCCAGACCATTCAAGAAAAGCCGCAGTGCAATGATTTGATCACACGACATACACAATTTAAAAATGATTAATACACATTTTTGGGAGAAATAAATAAATAAACGTTAGTGATTTGTTCAGTGAACAAACGGGTGCATTTAAAACAAAAATGCCGGTCCAAGACTGTAAGACACAATCAGTCTGACAGGCTATTCTGTTTTTCTCCCCCATCCCAAACAACTACATCACATTGATTTTGTTTTATTAAAATCTCTAACTTAAATCAATTATATTTCTTTGGTACAGTAGCTGTATATTTGTGGAGACCTTTAAAAAAAGGAACATCCAGATTACAAGTTGATTTTATAACACATTTCTATGAGTTCCATTAAATCTAAACAAACATTTCAAACTGTCACCAAAACCCATAAGGTCATCTGATTTGATCATAGACCCTACACGTATTAAGACTTTTTCAGGATATGACAATATGTCACATACAGCACCTGTTTGTTTAAAATAAAACAGGCAAAAACCTAAGGCCCAGGACCACTACAAAGTCTCTGTAAACACAGATTAGACTTATTGTTATTTTTCTTTTTAAAGAAAAAGTCACTGATTAAGTTTAAAGGAAGGCATTCAGTTGGTGCCACTATTAATCATCCTCAAAATAACTGAAAGTCAGTGGGAGATTTTTCTTATTCTTGCACCTTTTGATGAATGATAAATATTCTCAGTACATTTCAGGATATCTCTTCAAGTACTTCACTGGTGTTATGGCCTTTCAGTGACAGGGGTCAAAAGGGTATTTGGTGACGCCTCCATGAAGCTCCACCTCTGTCTCGGACCAAGCGATGACGTCTCCTTTGAGGTCGCTGCCACATGAGGCCAGGCTGTAGATGTCACTGGCAGGCAGAACATGTGACCACAAATGTAGGTCTGACATCTCTCCCACAAAAGACTGAGTGGCATCAAAACGGCCTCCCAGAATATCCTGAAGAGAGAAAGAACAGTCAAAGTTAACACGAATCATTGCTTTCCAAAATTGGTATTAAAATATTACTTCTGTTGTGCCAGACCAAAACAGAAGTAATCATCAGGCCCATTTCTTAGATCAGATGTATAAGATATATATTGTAGTATGATGGTCACTTTACTCAACGTCGCTGGCTCGTGCTAGCTGCTTTTATTGGAAAGGAGTGGACAACACTGCATTTTGTTAACCGCAGCTTTGTGCCGTAAATCAGGCCAAAAATGTTGCTGGTGATCATACGTACAGAGAGGCTTTGAGGTAATATCTGAATGCAGATTGTGCCATTATTTTAAAACCAGTGCATATGGTTTTATAAATTAAAGCACACTTGTATTTCCACTTGAAAATGGAACACACTAGATGTTCTCCCATGCATTCAATGCCTCCCTTCTTGCATTGTGTATCGACAGAGGGTGAAGCTTTACCTGTTCCTGTCCCAGGATGAAGACTCCTCCAGCTTTGATCGGGTGCCAGGGGGAAAGGTTTGTCCCGGACCCCCTCTGTTCTCCGTCCTGGTAGGCCTCCCACTGCCCATCCCTTGTGGACCAAGTCACACAAATGTGATGCCACTCCCCATCACCCAATGACAGAGGGAGCGTCAAAGCCTGTGGTTGAGAGAGTGAAGGTGGTGAGACACTTATACAAATACATCCAGTAGAAATAACAATACGTTCAGAAAGAAAATATATAAAATAAGCCCTCCCCTTTTAGCTCCACAAGTCAACTACCATCTACTTCCATCAGAAGTCACGGTTTAACCCTTATTAACTCTAATTTGATCTGATTTGAGTTACACTGACCAACCCAACAACCAACTATAATCAGACAAATCCTGGAGCATTTACAAAACACAATTTTCTGACTGAATCCGGTCCATTTCGAACTACTTTGATGAGAGAACAGAAAAAGAAATACAGAAATATCTGTAAAAACTGTGTAGATGTTTTCTCCCTCACCTTGTCATCAATCAGCAGCTCCATGGGGTTGTCCCCCCACTCAATGAGCACTAGTTCATTAGCCTGTCCTGGTGCTGAGTAAGAGAAGGGCGTCCCCAGGGTCTGCCCGGCGCCCGCCTTGATCCAGAGACACAACGTCATGGCGAAGATCTCCTGCATCAGCGTCGTCTTCACCTGCCCGTACATGTAGTTGGTTCTCATGGGGAAGCTGATTTGAAAACCTTCGGGATTAAAAGAGTTGTCCCTGCTGTGACCTGTTGTTGAAGAAAAATAACATCATTCAATGACAACAATCACACCTTAAGGTTCATTAAGTAACTGGAGCTTTTGATCATGTCTCCTGAGCACTTCCTCTGCAGAGTTTGCCCAGTTGTTATTAAAATGTATTGTGGCTAGATGTTTAAACTGTAAGCAGTTTAAGTTCATCAAACTCATGTTGGCTTAAAATGTTTGAGTATGCCATAAAACAACAGGGGACAAAATAATCTAAGGTCTCAAACGTCCATTTAGTAGCTGTTCTGGAGCTTTTTCATCATCATTTGTTTTGCCACTGGCTGTTACCGAGGTAAAGAAGGTACTTTTAAAATCTATTCCCCTCATGGAGTTATAATTCCTTTGTTTTTTCAGAGAGGACTATTTTTTTTTATCCGATTGTTTAATGTTGAAGTAGGTAGTAGACCTGCTCAAGGTCACAGTATTAGACGTTAAAGGTGTTAATTGAGCCACCCCTAACCAAATGACATCATGTATTTTTCATCTTATTTTTTTTCCAAACATACTCATCTGCCGAACACGTCCCTTACACAACTTTTACCAAATGCTGCTTTATTAATAAAAACATGTCTGTCATAAATGACTGCATGTTATTCAGTGTGTGTACCTGAGAGGTGCAGCTTGCTGAGCATTGTTTCCAGTTTATTTGAGTGGAAACCAGTCTGTGGCCCTGTGTGTGTATGATAACTGTGACTGTCTGCTTCATTACTATGGTGGTCTTCATCATCATCGTCATCATCGTCATCATGGTGCCCTTCATCGTAGTCGTCGTGGTCACTGTCCACATCGTGATGGTCTGTGTGGCGACTGCTGTCCCTGTGGTCGTTCTTGTGGTCATCGTTGTGGTGGTCGGCGTGGCGGTCGTCGTGGCGATCGTCGTGGTGTTCGTCGTGTCGATGGTCGTGGAGATGGTCGTGGTGTTCGTCGTGGCGATCGTCGTGGCGATCGTCGTGGCGATCGTCGTGGCGATCGTCGTGGTGTTCGTCATGGTGATGGTCTTTGTCGTCTCTGTGGGTGCTGTCGTCATCATGGTGGTCATGGCTGCTGAGGGCGGAGGAGTGACGGCGCAGCTGCTGCTCCAGAGCGTTGATCTTCCTCTGGAGAAGCTCCTTCAGAGAGCTGGAGTAGGCCACAGACGTGTTCCTCTTCTGGAGGTGAAGAACACACAGGTGAAGACGTGATAACAGCACACTTCCTGTCACTTAAATCCTTTACTTCCTGCTTACACAATAATGAGTTGGCCTGTCACCTTAAAGTCTAAGAGAGTAATTTTGTGTGTTTTGCTTTTCTTTCCCTGAACCCTTCAATGTCAGCTGCAGTAGTCAGGTATTCATTGTCTCCTCCTGTATATCAATATTCCAATTACTTGTATATAGTCTATTCTGCACTATTTCTATTATATTACATATCTTTTTTATTTACTTGCACTATTATCTGTTTTATTGTTGTTGCACTGTTGGAGGAGCCTGTGACCTAAGATTGTCATTGTCATAACTACACTGTAGCTATGCACAAATGACAATAAAAGCCTTGAATCTTGAATTTACTTCTCTTCCTCTCAGGTAATCTGGGCTTTTTCGTGGCACATGCCCTGATTAACAACCTGTCAGGGGAGATCAGGATAAGCACTACTGATGTAAGACTCGTGCCAACCCCCCCTGTCCCCTCTACACACTCCACAGCTCCTGGCATCTGTCTGTGGTCACCATCCATGGAAGAGAGCTAACAGGAAAGGGTGATACATCTACCAGGTGAGTAGATAAAGAGACAAACCAGCTAATCCATGTAACCTTTAGCAAGAGTCTCTCACATCGGTGACGAACACACCTGAGCCTGTTGCTGCTCTGAAGTGCCAACTGACGGACATCACATGTGACCCTCTTGCTCTTTACGCAATTAAGCATTCAATATTTCCTTTCTAGTAAGATGCACGACCAACTGGGACTTGATTATTCGTAAATGCAATCCGTTGATATGTTATCACTACACATCATAAACCTCCCCCTACATCCTTTTATCAACTGTAGTGTACATACTTTAACACAATATTTATTGAATGCACTTTCATCTGCCTTTCCTTCTGTATTTCTTTCTGTCCGTCTTTCTTTCTGTTTTACTTTCTATATGTATTCCTCTCCTTTTGTCTTATTTCTAGCTGTCTTTCTACGTGTGTGTTATTTCCGAGTACAAATCTGAAGACGTTTCCTCCTCTCGCTGCTCACCTGCAGATTGTCCAGCCTGTCCTTCAGCGCCTGCAGCATCCTCTCCATCTGCTCTGGGGACGATGTTATGTCCCCGGGTCTCACATGTTTATCCTTCCCCTGGTGGTCGCTGTGCCCCCCATCAGATCGCTGCCCCCCCATGGATGGGTAGTGCGGTGAGTCTGGTATAAGGTTTCCATGGGGACCTTGCTGGTTGCTATAGTGCCCGTTGTCAGTGTACGTGTGATGACTGTCCGCCCCTGTGTGACGGGGGTCTGAGCCGTGGTGCTCGTTGTGAGGCGTGAGGCCCTGTCCGAGACCCTCACACAGGCTGAGCTTGGCCGTCAGCTCTCTGATGGTCTCCCTCTGGTCCAGGATGGTCTCTTTCTGGTGCAGGAGGCTCTCCCTGAGGTGCAGGATGGTGGCTTTCGCCTCATCGCTCGCCCCCCACCAGCCAGCAGGGGGTACACTTTGATGTCCTGGCCCTACACCAGGACCCCCCATGGGGAAGCATGCAGGGTCTGCGTCCATGGGAATAGGGGTGCAGATGAAGCGCGGGTGGGCTCCGAAGTCAGGCCCTGAGCTTGCAGACGCAGGGCAGAGGATAAGGGAAATGAAAGATATCAAAATGGGAACAAGCAACAGGTGTCGGGACCGGGACTTACTCATTATCTCCATCCAAAGTTCAGCCAGGAAGACTAAGGAGCTTGGCTTCACTTCACAATGTGCGACGTACGTGGAGGTCAAGGTTGTCTTGACTTCATGGTAGTTGGAAAGGAGACATCAGGAAGCCCGATAACAAAGCATCCACTCATCTGACAAACAAATGGAAATCACAGCTTTGTCTTTTATATTCTTTGTCGCGTGATATAATGATTTAATCCTGGATCTTGGCTTGTTTCTCTCCCTCCGTCTCTGAGGAATGCAATAAACCTGTAAGACACAGAAAGACAGATTTTAAAAGAAGGTCTTTAGTAACACAAGGGGAGGACACAATAAGAAAATCACCTTTACATTAGGGAAGCTTTTTGTTAAGACTCTGTCAGAGTAGTGTTGATTCAGCTCTGATTAAACGTGTTTGCTGTTTGTTCCAGTGCTATATATTTGTATCTACAAGTCTACAGTCATTAGCTTCACATGTTTTTGCTGATTTAGTTAGCATCATAGTGAAATAAAAAATGTGAGAGGCATCATTTACATATAATGTTCTCTCTCACATTCATTTATACCCTCTGGCCTTTATTTACCAATTCTGCTTGTTCAGAAATGCAGTAAATAAGCCTCAATGACCTCAATTACAATTTGAGAGCAGGCTGACCAGTGTAAAGGTCTTCAGTGCTCAGCAGGATGATGGAGGATGACCTCCTCAGCTGCGTCTGTCTGACCAGTCAACTCACATGGCACGGAGGATTAGTCCAAATCACAAGTGTGACGTCCTAAATTAACCAGACGACGAGACATTTGTCGTCCTCTTTTAGTTTAAATGAATGTGATGTACTTTCTTGAAGCCCGAATTAAGCCTGCAGGGACACATTCAATCTTTTGTATAGACTTGAACTTTAATGTTTAAGAGTAAAAAAACAAACAGTTTATTGTTTAAAATCTGGATCCCAAACGATCCCCAAACCCTAACATGGAGTATTATTTTTCCTGTGTCTATATCACAAAGGCTCGCTGACCCTCTGAGCGCTGTAGCATGTCCTTCATTATACAGGGTCGGCATTTCGAAATGGCACACACGTGATGTGGCAGCTAAACCTCCCAGACCACCTGTTGCTCGCAGTGACCAGCCTACACAATGTGTGTGTGTGTGTGTGTGTGTGTGTGTGTGTGTGTGTGTGTGTGTGTGTGTGTGTGTGTGTGTGTGGGTGTGTGTGTGTGTGTGTGTGTGGATAGTTCATATGATTCACTGCACTATATCAATAATAAAACAGGGTGAACTATACAGACATAGTATGTTGTGTAAAAATGATCACCACTGCCTTCATTATACCAAGTAAGTTAAATGCAAAACAATTATTGAGCTGCAAAACAGGAAAAACAATTCCTTATTTATTTTTAATTGAGAAGGAATTTTTACTAACGTGTCTTATCAGTAAAAAGGAGTAACAACCCCTGAACTAAAACGTGTTTTTCTGTCTCTGCAGATCCTGTTGTGATTTACGGGGCTTAGAGGACAGACAGATGGTCGATGTACAGAAACGTTTCACACCCAATCACTACAGTTTAGCTGTGACCTTATACCCAGAGGTCACTTAATTAACCTAATTGCCAACAGTTGTTGTGCCAGAGATAAGTGGGCTCGCATGCTTTAGTGCGTGCGTGTGTATGGGTGTGTGTGTGCATTGGTGAGATAATCCATGGTGAACCCTGTGGTCGTGCACCATATGCTCAAGGTGGATTTAAGTAGTGTGATTAATCCCAAATTGCAAACTGACAACAGAAGTTAGATCTGTGAATAAAAAACATCGGACTCTGACAAAGAAAATAAGGAAGTCTCTTCTGGTAAACAGATGATTTCTTGACAGAGAATGGATCTGGCTTTAAAACTATAAACATCCCAGTGCATTACAAGATCCATGTCAACATCATTTTCTCGGGCAAGTGGCTCGCACAAAATGTGTTGAGACACAAAATAGATCAAAGTTCACGAAAATACTTCTTCAGTGTAAATCCCACAGTTTAAATGCAGAGTGCTGCTTTGTTTACTTGCCAGGCTTTCTGGTGTTAGATGAGGTCAAACATGTTTTACTTAAACCTGCAAGATGCGTCCTTAGCTTACAATCCATTTATAAATTATATATATATATAAGTTATATTATTGTAACGTTTTTTATATTTTGCATGGCTAATGTGTTAAATACTCTGTTAAATTAATATTTATTTATATAAATCAAGAAGTTACATGTCGAATAAACTGCTAAAATAATGCCAGACGGAATATTAATTATCGGAAACATGTTATTGTTTTGGTCTAAATTAGCATTAGTTGTCTAATTTTAAATGTTTGGAAAAAACTGTCTTTTTCATTTTTCTAATGAAACTTCGTCAGACTTTTATCCCTTCCTCCCACCCTCTTATTCACTCTCATGGTCAGCTCCAATTTTTAAGACAGTGAATGATTTTCTGATTTACGTGTTATTGTGAACTCTGCAGCCGATGTTTCTAAAACATCCATTAAACTAAATATATTATATTGTAATTCATTTTAATCCATTAATTTCCCTTAAAATTGCTGGCTCCAAGTTTTTTGACTAAAAATTAATAAATAAATAAACTAAAATGCTTTTAGTAACTGACATCAATAATCAATTTGTTGTTTCATGTTATATTTTAATGATCAACTATTTTTTTTTTTTTTTTTTTTAACAATATGTCCAAATCGTTTTCTAAAAAAAGGGTTAATGTTTCTTTGCATCTGAATGGTAAAAGGTTAAAACAGAGCCACACTTTGGCTCTTAACTGGCCTCTTTACTTTTTCAATATTTGAATAAAACAAGACATTAACACACATTTCTAGTTAAATGAACATTGTGAGAGCGTTCTTACCTCAGAGTCTCTGAGCCTGCAGCCGTGTCTCCCCTCTGCAGAGTCTGATCAGATTAATAGAGATTTACACAAGAGTGGAGAGCTCAACTCCTTTTATCCCTCCTTCATTGTCTCTACCTCCCACTTTGCTCTCCTCCCCTCTTTCAGCTTGTGTTTCTCTTGGAAGACCACTCCTCTTTTACTGTTGAGTCTTTTAGACATCAGTTATTAATGTGGATTTCTGACTTTATTGAATATAACTCTATCTGATAGCCTACATTAACACTTACATGTAATTGACCTCAGATCCTCTGTACCAGGAATCTCTCATTGGCTCAGCTCCGGCGTCACGCAGCTCACCTGGATCTCAGCACGGGACTAATTGGTCTTTTTAATTCCTCATGTCCAGTCCGGTCTGACTGAGGGCCAAAGAGGCAAAGGCAGGACAGCAGATGGCTGATTTAAGGTCAGAAAATCACTAGACAAATAAACTATGGATCCAGCATGTTGATTACATTAAAATAAAAAATTTGATTAGATTAATCAATGTATCAATTAATTAAATGTCCACTCAAGGGACTAATTAGGATCTTACCTTTTTAGAAAACTGTTTCAAAAAGTATCTGGCACATTTACATAATAACAATACAAATACAACACAATTTAAACATATACACTTTTTACGCTATTATTTTTAAATGGCTGGCAGTGTGATTAGATCTCTACACTGCCTTTAGAGTAGGGCTGTGCGATTATGGCAAAAATCATAAACACGATTATTTTGGTTAATAATTGATATCACGATTATTAAATACGATTATTAATTGACTTTGAAAACATCCATTTATTGATCTTTAAAACAAATACAAATAGTAATTTCCAACAGTATCTTTTTAACTGTTCATTACCCTGAACGTATAATTCAACTGAAAAACCAATACAAAAATAAATGATACATTTATATTTACATTTAAATAAATAATATAAAAAATAATAAATACCAATAAACAAGATCAACAAATATTTTGGAGCGCACTTCCACAAGCTACTAAACATATATAAATATGATTAATAAAAATGTATTCGAGCAAAATAAATGTGATCAAATATGTTGCAGTGCAGTCACAACCTCCTAGCAAAGCAAAATAATTGTTTTTTTCGATTATGTTTGTTTTTCGTAATTGTGCAAGGCCAAAATCATAATTGCGATTAAAATACGATTAATTGCACAGTCCTACTTTAGAGCTAACATTTAGTTGTCAATTTAAAATTCCGATATGACTAATACTGACAAAATTCAGAGTCTGTTATCAAACTAGAACTATGAGCAGTTGAACAAAGTGACATTGAGTAAACCAACCTGATTACAAGAGATCTAGATTCTGACAAATAATGAATAACGGGTATACAAAACGTGAAAAGTGTGAGGAGTCCAATTGTGTCCCCTGGATCTGTTACTCTGTCTCTGCCTCTTCATGTATAACGACATTTTTTCCTAGATTTATTTTTGATTTATTGCTTTGCAGATATCAAAAAGGCAGTCCAATGCATTTGACATATTATTAACATAATGTATAAATAGTATGCATGTGAGCTGTGCTGAATGTTTAATTGATTGCCTTTAAGTCTTAGTGGTGTATGACCATTCCTACCTGGCATTTTTGGTCTCAAAGACACAGTTTGATCTTTGTAGTAATAACTAAGATGGTACTGATGTAGTACAGTGATACTTTAAAGCCTGCACTTGTTGCACCACCAGCTGTGGATGTTCAGGTTTCTGCAGGGGAAGTGCAGCAGGAAGTGATGTCACACATCGCCCCCACCTGGGAGAAACCTGCAACTGCAAAGAAACACAGCTTCAGTCAGACACCTGAATGTCAATAGATTTGTATTTTTGGGCCCTTTATACAATGCACAGTTTTGAAGCACATGGCTAGATTGATCTGAGACCACTCCACCATATTAAAGGGAAAAATACTGTGCTCCAATAAATACACAGTAATAGTCAGTATTGGTGAACACTTGATGATTGGACTCACATGCAAACAATTCAACACAGTGTTGAAATGTTATTATTGCAAGAGTTTTGAATAGCCAACAGCAAGAGTTAATTTTTTGTGAAAAATATTTCTTCACAATGACAATTTCTACTGCCTTTATTTGGTAATATTGTTATTTTGTACATTTAACAAGAAATGTGAAGGCGGTAGCTTGCTCTTCACAGCTTTTTTTGTAATTATTTCATAGTTTGCCGCTGTCTTCTCTCCGGCAGCAGCTTTTATCCGTAGAATCAAGGCACAGACAGTAAGTGAAGTGGATTCACTTTGAAGTTTTTCTATTTTAAAAACTGTTATTATTATGCTACCTCAATCTCCATCTGTCAAATAACTATATAATAATGAAATAAAAAGTACAAAATGTCACACTAAATCATTGTTAAGTGGAATAATAACATGACAATCACACACAAGTGCAATGCTACTTTTAGAAACACTAGGTCATGACCTTTTGTATTCATATTTTGATGTACTATTATTAGGTTTTAAACACACTCGGTGCATTTTATTTTACTGTATAAAGTGATTTAATTGAATTATTGAAGCATGAATTTGTATAGCATCACTTTAAAATTGCAGCTAATAAATGTGGGGTTCATTTTAATCACTTCAGAAACTGTTGTCACTTAACTTATAACAACACATCATCAATTATTAGGACATTTATTTTTCTTCTGAAGTAAACAGTAGAAGTATAAAGAGCATAACATATGTTCAATATTGTAATTTAGTTCAGTACTCGAGTAAATGCATTCTCCCCACTGACCCTGACACTTTAACTTCTCCTCTCCAGCACCTCTATTTGTTACATTAGCCTGTAATCTTCCCAGCAGCTTCCTGCAGTAACTAAAGAGCTGTGCAGGCCCCGTCCTCCTCCTCTTCCTCCCCCTGTGTCCCCCCTGTGTCCCCCCTGTGTCCCCCCTGTGAGAATGGGCAGCAGCCCTATGTGTGATGGTCCTGGTGAATGTAGGCCAGTGGTAGGCCTGTTCTGTCTTTGGCTTAAAAAGTTCAAGTCATTATTCTCCTCCTGCTCCCATTCATCCGGGGTCCCGTTGGCTCATTGTTATTCCGCCCGAGTGACAGAGAGAGGGAGACACAGAAAGGGAGACACAGAAAGGGAGGCTGACGGAGGAGCTGGTTGCACTGGGCGGGGGTTTCTCTCGCTGCGTTTTCTGTCCGGTTTTTCTGCGGGCGTGAAGGCATGTTGATAATCGGCTCAGTAATGAGGAGAGGTACTGAACGGCACCAAATATCTGACCCCGATTCCCGGGAGTAGAGAGAGGCAGAGAGAGGCAGAGAGAGGGAGAAAGTGTGAGAGAGAGGAGGGAAGAGAGGCATGTGAAAAAGGGGTGGAGGGGAGCTGAGATTTACTGCCTTGCTGGATGAAACAACCCCCCACTAACTAACGGAGAGGGAAAGTAGCCTATTGGGAAGAAAAGCGGGGGTGTTGTACCGTTCATTTAACGCTCAAAGACGCGCAGGAAGCCTTTATCGTTTCCCACAATGAGTTCAGAAAAGGTATGTAACTTTTATTTATTTTTAAGTAGCCGAATTATGTGTTACTGTTTTACAAATTGGAAGTGGAGCTGAGAGATCAACAGGTAGCAGCTGCACTGTGGAGGCAAATGACAGGGTCCTTTTTCTACTCAGGAAAAAACATTACCCGTTGTATTTATTCGTGTTTAAATGCAACACATTGCTGGACTTTTTTTTTTGTGTAGTTGTTTTTTCCTCACTAATTGAGTTGATGAAATGAGATGGAGTGGAAGAAACGGATCAGTACTGGTTAAGCTGCAATGCTGCACCATTAACTGATCTTTGGATACATGCAATAAATAAATGGATCAGTTTCTGAAAGCCACAAAACTGGACAAGAAACATTTAATACCACAAAAAATGCAAAGTTATTTTGCATGCATGAGTCCTTTAAATGTTTTGTTTTGTTTTTGGTTCAGCCAGTTCTTGGCAATTAAAATGCTGCAGTGACATTTGGGCTGCAACTGGAAAATGTCAGAGTAGTTTAAAATGCCATCATAAATGACTCTGCAATCCCAAAACCAGAAGATATTCACCTTAACAATCATATAAAACAGAAATAAACAGCAAATCCTCAAACTTTGGAACAATACTTTTTTGGCACTTTTGCTTTAAAAATGAATAACGATTAATAAGTACAAATAGTTCCAGATGCTTTTACTGCTGATCACACGAATAGTTTCATAATTTAGGGACATTACAGTTTTGTTAAATGCAATGTTTGCTTCCAAATCATTGGAAGAAATGTGAAGAGGGCACATGAATGCACCTTCTGTATCAGTTTCCAGACCACCTGCAGACTGTTCCTGTTGCATCCGGAAACAAGCAACACTTTATTTCATCTAGAAGCTGAACAAACATTCAAACATGCCTTTTATGCAGCCTCAATATTTTAATTGACTTCATAATTTGAAAGTATGTGCAGTGTTATAAAGTGCTTCAAACTAATTAAAATCAGACAGCATTATGATAAAGCTCCCTCTTCTCTGAGTTATCCTGCTCACTATTACAGCTCCTCTGACAAATTACAGTCTACACCCGGGTGGCCTTAATGAGCAACAGTGTGGAAATGTTAGCTTTGTTTCATATAGTTGATCTGGGTCAACGTTTTCTCAATCATGTTGTTGTTAAAACAAAGGAGGACTGCATAGGGAAAAGCAAATGAGCATTTTGCCATTAAACTCAGAATGGAAATCTCTCGACCTTGAAGCAGTCCCCCCTGATCGTCCTCTCTGCCGAGGAAACATTGATGTTGCGTGTTTGTTCAGTGCTCTGACACCTGTGACTCGGTCTGGAGGAGCCCATTGTTCTTATCTGAGATGGTATAACTCGTCTGGCTCTCGAATCTAGGAGAAATATTGTGGTTGCTGTACTGTGGCGAAGTGATAATGCAGAAACTGGCAGCTGAGCCTAAATAAGATCCATGTGAAAATAACACTGCTGCCCTCAGACAAAACCCAGGACGGTGAGACACCCTCATCACTTGGTGTGATGGTTCGATGGCCTTAAAAGACCTCTGGCTGATTTAAATCTCACACTTGATAGAGAAAGTGCAAGCACTGAATACTCAAGTATAATTTTAAATATACTAAGACAGGGAAGTCTTATAGAGAGGTTATGATACTTTAAACCTTCCTATGATGTATTAGTAAACTGATTTTAGGAGATTCCCTTCACAATTATTTGCCACTTGTCGTTGTTTATTAACATAATTCTTCTGTATTGATTATTTAATCTCCCAGAGCCGCTATGGCATCTATGTATTTCTTGTTTTTTTTCCCACAATCGAGCCAAATTGAAAAATAAGTTAAATTTAGTATAATTCTTGATAAAAAAAAGCAGCACATTCTAACTTATAAAAAGCTAGAAACATTGAACATTTGTTGTTTTGAAAAGAGTACATTTCCTGCCCTTTAACTAATCAGCATATCGACTAATAATTTCAGCTTGGGTACAGATAAGACAAACAAGTGCTTTGGCATTTCCTTTCCTTTGAGGCCATGTGAAAGGTTATTACTCATGTCACTTTTTCTTTCTTTGTCTTTTCTCTTTTAGGGGTTTGCTGTCTGCTATAAAGCCTAGGGCCCTGAACAACAGAAATAAACAACACAACAAACACAGTGCCAGCACAAAACCAAGAAAAGGAAAATGTCTCGAACCGAGGAGGTCAACAAGATGACAGAAAATGTATATAAGGTATGACGCCTCTCTCTATTTGTCTGCACAAACACTTAATTCAGTATAGTAAAATGTTAGAAATGAGTAAGAATATAGTGTCATAATCTGCCTGTCATTTATTTGTGTGTATTGTTGCCAACAGGGGATTCTGGACCAGTTCAACCCCAGTCTGAAGAACTTTGTGACCATGGGGAAACACTACGAGAAAGCCCTGACCGGTCAGTCAAATACAGGATCATTCACTTGCCTTTGATTTGTATGGATTACTGAACAGGATATTTCTTTTGTTTTTCCTAAAATGAACTCTTGTTTCAGGAGTCACTGTGGCGGCCAAAGGGTACTTTGATGCTCTGGTGAAACTTGGAGAGCTGGCGAGCGACAGCCAGGGCTCCAAAGAGCTGGGTGAGTGGGCGGCTGGTGGAGAAGCACCGTGCTGAGGGGAAATAAAAATGAATTAGTGTTGGAGCTAATAAAGTTAAGAGAGTCGTCGTGACAGCTGGAGATAAGTTGAAAATAGTCTGCGTTGGTAAGGGAGGAGATGAAGACAAGAGGGAATGAGGAAATGTAGAGGGAGAGAGGGAGAGAAGAGAGGGAAAGGGAGAGAGTAGGGTCATTGTTGGGAGATTAACAACACCACATGATCTCATTGTAATGCTGAAAACAGCGGGGGAGGCAGGCAGGAGAGTGGAGGGCGAGATGCCAGCCACCGCATACTACAGTGCTGTGTGACTGAGATGGGGGGGGGGGGGGGGGGCGGGCTCACAGCTGACCGCCACTCTGTAAATGAGAAACTGTGTGAAAACTGAACGTTTTATGACTTTTTCACTGAGGCGTGCTCATGCATGTGTCATGATGTGGATAGCATTTAATAGAGCACAGATTTGAGATTTTCTGCATGGGGTTAAAGAGGCACTCTAACATATCGCAAGCTTGTCTAACATCAAATGTATATAACACTGACGGCCTTCCCTCTCCTGTGCTGTGCTGCTGCTCACAGGAGACACACTGTTTCAGATGGCCGAGGTCCACAGACAGATTCAGGTGCAGCTGGAAGACGTGGTAAGACTCGACTCAGCTGTGGAAAATGCCTCTTTACGTGTATTTTTTATCAGGATATATTTTTTAAATCATCACAAAACGCTAAAAAAACTGTTCTTTTGAGTCCAAATATAGTGTTTTAACTCATAACTTACTTGATATCCATTCATATTCATAACGTTTAAAGGTTGCATGTGGCTCTTTTCCATCAACAGTTAAAGTTATTTCACTCTGAGCTGCTCGCCCAGTTGGAGCAGAAGTTGGAACTGGATATTAAATACCTCACAGTAAGTTGAAATAAGTTGAATCACTTTTTATACAATGTAACAAAAGCATGATTTCAAATTATTGTAACAGAATGAAATGTTAAAATTAATTTGGCCTCAGTTTTGCACCAGCACAGCTCTCGTCTCATCACACATTGTTAATAAATCCTTTTTTCCTCTTCCCTCTCAGGCCACCCTGAAGAAGTATCAGAGTGATCGGAGGTCTAAATCTGAGTCTATTGAGCGATGCCAGTCCCAGCTGAAGAAACTCCGCAGGAAGAGTCAGGGCAGTCGCCACCCGAACAAATATGGAGACAGAGAGATGCAGGTATGAGACGCCCACAGCTCCATATGGACGGAAACAAATAGCCTATTTAATGAACAGGTTTATTAGCAAAATGCAGAAACATTCACTACAGTTCCTAAATAAATATCCTAAACATCTCCCTCAGCGTCATAGCATAACTGTGAGTATTTGTGTAAGAAATAGATCAGTGTGAGTGAGATTAAAAACAATCTGCCTCAGCTGATTCTTCAGAAAACAAGCAACTTAGTGCAGAGGCCTCCACCAGAAGAAATATGAAGGATCTAAGAGGGTGAAAGGGTTTATCGTTGTAAGGAAAGGTCAGCGGGGCAAAAGGGTAGCACTTTAAGATTTGGATTATGTTATCATTGTGCAACAGTCAGGAAATGATCTCACATATTCCCCTCTCCGTACAATGTGCGTTAAAGGTCATCCTTGAGTACTACATGTATGCATGTGATTGTTAATGAAGGAAGGTGCAAAGTTTGCAGTGAAACCTCTCTGACTTTTCCTTCAGTTTGTGGAGCTGATGAGTCGTCGTCAGGTCGAGCTGGACACGCTGGTTGCGTCGGGATACAAGTCTGCGCTCACTGAGGAAAGGAGACGATATTGCTTCCTGGTGGATCGACAGTGTAGTGTCACCAAACTGCTCGTCAACTACCACTCCAAGGTGATCATATGCATTTACGTATTAATTAAGCTATGTACATTTCAGAAAAATAAAAGATGATATTTTCGATCTTGCCCGGCCTGGGATGGTTTTGGTCTGTTCATTTGTTACCAACAGGGAAAAGTCTAATATTTTAAGTGTTTTTCTTTGCTTTTGAATATAATCCAGGTGAGAGAGCTCCTGTCACAGAAGCTGTCCTCGTGGCAGCAGTCATGTTCTCAGCCCACTAAACTCCCCGAGCGCGCTCTGAATCTGCTGCGCCACACCGCGCCTCAGAGCTCAGGAGCTGCAGGGATAGCCGAGGTCCTCCGCCACACCAAGATTGGCTCTGCTCAGCCAGAACAGGTCAGGTCATTCATTTGTCAGATGGTTAAAATATGTTATTTGGACTTAATCCTAATCTCAGCTGGATTACATGGGTTCATTGTATGAAGCACACAAAAGTCTATTATTAGTTGTTTCTGATAGACAGGGGACTTTGGTAACTCCTGAAGCCTGGCTATGAAGTTATGAGTTAATTCACAAGTCCTTCACTTTTTTTAATTGAGTCCATAAATAGTCATTATAGAACTAAGAACAGCTAATAATCAATAGCTGTTTATTAGTTTGATTATTTTTTTTTTTATAATTTGGAGATGATGTTCCAAATCAAAGGTTTAAAGTCCAAGTCACAAATCATTAGTGTCAAACTTCAAGGTAGGAGGTCTCTTTTGATTTGGCCAACTCTGGTTTGAAGTCACCAGACAGTCAGATGTCTTGAGTACAACGACTTTTAATTTCTGATAGTTAACGATATCTGTCCAGAGACGCGCACCATCTCCCCCGTCTTCATCACCGTGCCTACGTCAACCACCTCCCCTCCCTTCAAGAAAGCATCTGCAGTCTCCGAAGCCTGATAAAGATGTGTGTGTACAAAACGCAACAAACTATTTCTGATATGTGCTGGGTCCAGGCTCAAGGGCATATGGCACTCTCAACTCTTTCCAGCACATGCCGGGGCCCTGCCTGCCAGTAGCTTTGCCGATATCTGTGTTGATAGGTAATAGATTAAGAGCGGTAAATCAGCTTAGAAACAGGAAGTGCTCAAACGTTTGTGTGAGGTTATCAAATTTAGCAGTGATTCCATGTCAGCCACAGCTTGTCACAAATGTTTTTACTGATAGTGTATTTAACAAACTTAAACTAGCTTTATTAAATGTCAGGTCTTTGGCAGGAAAAACATTTTTAATCAATGATTTTATCACTGAGCACAATCTCGATTTGATGTTTTTAACGGAAACTTGGATTGAACAAAATAACAGTGCAGCTGTTCTTATCGAATCAACCCCTCCCAACTTTAGTTTTATGAGTCAGGAAAGAATTTATAAGAAAGGAGGTGGAGTTGCTATTTTGTTCAATGATTCCATTCAATGCAGGAAGACATCTTATGGGGACTTTGCTTCTTTTGAATATGTGGCCCTTCAGCTGAAATGCTCCTCTCGAGCTCTGTTCCTAAATATCTATAGACCACCCAAATACTGGGCAAGCTTTTTTGATGATTTTACTGAACTGCTGTCTATAGTGTGTATTGACTTTGACCGTCTAGTCATTGTTGGTGATTTTAACATCCATGTTGACAACCACCAGGACAGAGGGGCTAAAGAACTGTTTTGTGTTCTTGATAACTATGGACTGACTCAGCATGTGGCGGAGCCCACGCACAATAAGGGGCACACTCTGGACTTAATTATCTCAAAGGGTCTGAATATCTCAAAGGTTGTGGTGACTGATGTTGCACTCTCTGATCATTCCTGTGTTTTCTTTGAGAGCTCTATTTCTGTTCACAAAAATGTTCAGAAAGAGGTAACCACAAAGCGATATTTAACTGAAAATACTAGGGAAATGTTTACTCATAATTTTTCATCCACACTCTCCCCTGCTAACATCTCAGTAAATGAGCTAGTAGATCATTTTAATTCAAAAATTAAAAATGTTGTAGATACCATTGCTCCAACTACGGTAAAGGAAGTGATTGGCAAGAAAATATCTCCATGGAGAAAGGCCATGACCGTGAGAACAGAAAAAAGAGAGTGGCGAAAAGCTGAACGTAGGTGGCGAAAAACAAATCTCCAGGTTCACTTTGAAATCTATAAAGAGAGACTTGGCCTTTATAATTTGGAATTGAAAAACGCACGACAGTCTTTCTTCTCTGACATCATTACCAAAAACAAAAACAACGCACGTGCCTTGTTTGCTACCGTCGACAGACTAACTAACCCCCCAGTGTCAGTAGCCTCTGAATTTCTATCCACCAGGGCGTGCAATGATTTTGCCTCCTTCTTCACTGACAAAATTCAGAAAATTAGACAAGCAGTCAGTGCCTCTGCATCAGGTACAGCAAATGTGTTGTCCCTATGTCCACCTAATATCAATTCAAACACCATGACACAATTCCATCAGATTAATGGTAAAAACTTAGAGGACATTATTCAACTTCTGAAATCCTCCTCCTGCTGCCTTGATATTATTCCAACAGGATTTTTCAAAGATGTTTTTCCTTGCATGGCCTCAGATCTACTTCATATAGTAAACACATCTCTTCACTCAGGTATTTTTCCAGAGGCCCTGAAAACTGCAGTCATTAAACCGCTCTTAAAAAGAATAATCTAGATGCTTCAGTAATGAACAATTACAGGCCAATATCAAACCTGCCATTTCTAGGTAAAATCATTGAAAAAGTTGTATTTCAACAGTTGAGTAACTTCTTGCATTTAAATAACTGTTTGGATGTGTTCCAGTCAGGATTTCGTCCAAACCACAGCACTGAGACTGCTCTTGTAAAGGTCTTCAATGACATCCACTTAAACACAGACAGTGGCAGAACTTCAGTGTTAGTATTATTAGATCTCAGTGCTGCGTTTGACACTGTTGACCACAACATATTACTAGACCGACTAGAAAACTGGGTGGGACTTTCGGAAACAGTTCTAAACTGGTTTGAGTCCTACTTAAAGGACAGAAAAAACTTTGTTTCTATAGGTAAATACACATCTGAGTTGACAAATATGACATGTGGGGTACCTCAAGGCTCCATCTTGGGGCCTCTTCTCTTTAACATCTACATGCTACCACTGGCTCAGATAATGAAAAACAACAAAATAAGTTACCATAGCTATGCGGATGACACACAAATGTACGTAACAATTTCACCAGGAGATTATGCTCCAATTCAAACACTGAGTAAGTGCATTGAACAAATCAATGACTGGATGTGTCAGAACTTTCTCCAATTAAACAAAGATAAAACTGAGGTAATGGTTTTTGGAGCCAAGGCAGAACGTATAAAAGTTAGCGCTGAGCTTCAGTCTGCAATGTTCAAAACAACAGATAAAGCCAGAAATCTAGGTGTAGTCATGGACTCTGACCTGAGTTTCAACAGTCACATTAAAACAGTTACTAAATCAGCCTACTATCACCTAAAGAACATATCTAGGATTAAAAGACTAATGTCACAGCAGGATTTGGAAAAACTTGTCCATGCTTTTATCTTCAGTAGACTCGACTACTGTAATGGTGTCTTTACAGGTCTCACTAAAAAATCTATTAGAAAGCTGCAGCTAATTCAGAACGCCGCTGCTCGAGTCCTCACTAACACTAAGAAAGTGGATCACATCACTCCTGTTCTGAAGTCCTTACACTGGCTTCCTGTGTGTCAAAGAATAGATTTCAAAATACTGCTGCTGGTTTATAAAGCTTTGAATGGTTTAGGCCCAAAATACATTTCTGACCTCCTGCTAAATTATGAACCATCCAGATCTCTCAGGTCTTCAGGGACTGGTCAGCTTTCTGTCCCCAGAGTCAGAACTAAACATGGAGAAGCAGCGTTCAGTTATTATGCTCCAAATATCTGGAACAAACTCCCAGAAACCTGCAGGTCCGCTGCAACTCTTACTACTTTTAAATCCAGGCTGAAGACTTTTCTTTTTGCCGCTGCTTTTAATTGAACTATTCACATCTTAAACTGCACTGTAACTTTTAACCATGTATTTTTTCTTTTAATGTTTATTTTATTATCTTTTCTTTTTAATGACTGATTTTAAATGCCATTTTCATAATGTCTTCCATTTTTGTAAAGCACTTTGAATTGCCTTGTGTTGAAAGGTGCTATATAAATAAACTTGCCTTGCCTTGTCCTTGATTTTTCAGAGGCTCTCAGTTCAGGAAGTCCCTCCCCTGATGAACGGAGACTCCAGTCGCTCCCAGCAGCGCTCGCTCCCCTCCTCCTCCTCCCAGAGTGACGGCTGTCCTCCTCAGGGCTCACCCCACACTTTCAGCTCTCTCTCCAGTGGAGGAGCTGCTGGAGGTTCATCCCTAGGAGCGTCTCCTCAGCACAGCAGCACCCTTCTGTCCAGCCCCCTCCCTGACAGCAGCACCAGCAGCAGCCCCTCTGCCTCCACCCCCACCTTGTCCAGCGGCTCAGCCCAGCCAGGCTCTCTCCTGCTGGCCGCCCACACAGCCAACCTCTCCCCGAGCCTCATCCCCTCCACAGTGATGTCTCTCAGCCAGATCTCTCCAGCCGGTGGCCATGGCATGACCCTCCCCATCGCCCACAGCGCTCCTCACAGCCCCCCTCTGCCCCACAGTGCCCCTCTGTCCCGGGCCATGACTCCTGTGCAGTTACTGCACCAGCAGGTGGGCCCAGGGGGGAGCAACACCTCCACCCTGTCTCATAATCCCTGGCTGCTGAAGACAGCGGACATCAGTGCAACAGCAACACTTCCACTGCCGAGGAGACCCAACAGTGAGATGAGGCTGGGTGGATTTCAGGGTAAGATGTGATGATTTGTCCTCCATATATTTTAGTGTCTAAATCCCCTTTTTAGCCCTCCTCCCAGCAAGTCAGAATCAGAATCAGAATACCTTTATTTGTCCAACAGAGGGGACATTTACATTTACTACAGCAGAAAACTCAGTTTCGATTTAGACAAACTATTGGCCAGATTTGTAATGAAACTTGGTGGAAGAGCGTGGGCCAAGGTCCGATTTACGTGTGGATTTATAAAGCTTTTAATTGAAAGCAGCAGCAGAAAGTGTTTGCATTAGCAGTAACTTCATAAACACAGCTGATGGAGAGTGAAAACTAAACTTTTAAGCTGAAATCTGAAGATACAATTACAGTAACGCTGGATTTACACGCATTCATCATTTCAAATCCCCAATATGTCTGAATTTTTTTTCTCTTTCTCCATTACCAAGGCTCCAGTCTCCCCAGGATGCTGCCTTTATCTGGACCCAATCGTGTGGAAGCCATGTTCGCTCACAATCCTGGGGCATCGGAGGCAGGCGGCGGTGGCGGCGCAGGAGGCGGGGCTTGTTTACTGCACTTCCTGCCTGGTGACAACATCTCCCTGCTCATCTCTGAGGCCAGAGACGGGTGGCACTACGGTCAAAATGAACGAACCGGACGGTATGCTCAATACATTTCTGACTGATGTCAAAAACAACTTCAGAGCACCTTATAATGCTTAACATTGCTGTAATGGACACAGTGCCATAAAACAAGGTTAACAGATACAGTATATTGCTGTAAGACAAGGGAGAGTGAGAATTGTTTTCATCCCACACAACCCTGACTTGCTGTTTGACACGCTTGTTTATTATTCATTAGTGATCTCATGTTGTAAAATGTTCCTTCACAGGAAAGGCTGGTTCCCTTTCTCCTACACGCAGTCATACCACAGCACGCTCGATCACCTGGAGAGGTAAGATCAAGAAGAACAAACTGTGATACTGCAGATCTTTAAGGTTGTCAATAAACGTTGACTCTGTTATTGACAGGAATGCTTCATTCACTTCACTCTAGTAGTTTTACTGGTCATTGTATCAACATAACTTTTTAAAAGTAGGAAGTTATAACATCAGTGGGTTCACAGAAAACGTATTGGGGTAATTTATGTTGAAACTAATGTGACAACCATTGTTTTTCACATGTGTATTCTCAAGATATCCAAAACATACTTCATGCCAGACATACAGAAAAACCACAAAAGCTCATGAACTGCAGAATGGAACTATTTGCCCTCTCAGTATTTCCACCGTTGTTTCCTTATCAAGTTCATTTCCAACACCAACAGCTTCGTTGATGATTTGACACAAGAACAGATTCTCTCGACTCATGTTTCCTTTGTGTTTTTTCCTCTCTGTGACCTTCCTCTAGCTCTCTCTTCTTATCTAAGGCTAACAGCACCAGCACCGGCCAGCTCGACAAGCTGGTGTCTCCGGGTCTCCCGGCCCTCACCCCCGAATCAGAGGAGGAGCACTCCCTTCCTCCCCAGAGGGTCAGCACCTTCCGCCCGCGCCCGTACAGCATGGCCGACAGCACCAAGGTCAGAAACATGAACTCTTTGGGAGGTCAAAGGTCAAAGTCTGCTCCCCACTGAGCCTCTCTGTTAATGGAATAGATACAGATGTTTTTAATTTGTCAAATGATCCTTTAATATTATCTCTTCTTTGCATCACAGATCACTCCTGAGTTGGTTTCTCCTCCACCCTCCCCAAACTCAAGGTACGTTTTAGCAATTCAAAGGTGCTGTGTGTCATTAAAGGGTAATTTCACCAATTGTACATGTCACAGTCAATTTGCTAGTCATATCTGACTTAGGGAAAATCCCATTTAAACTCAAAGCCAGCGTGTTAAGAAGAAGTGTGACACAAGAAATAAAATAATAGTTTAATTTGGCACAATTATTTCCATCCTAATAAGAGTGATTCCAACAAATAATAGCTCAATAGGAAATGTTTAAATGCTAAAAACATTAACAACAGTACCGGGTCGGTACAGAGTTTGAAAGCGTTAGTGCTTGAAGTGTAACTTGATGTTAAAAACTTTGAGGGTTAGGGTACCTTGAAAGTGTATATTTACATATTTATTATTTGTACCTGTTTGTTGCATTTCCCAATGCTGTTTTTACTGTTTGGTGGGGCTACTCCTTTGGTCATCAGTTTTTGTATTGTACGATTATTATACCTTTGATTTTTCCTTTCAGGGCCAATCCATTTGCCCACGTTCGACTCAGAAGAACTGTCACCAACGATCGCTCAGCTCCCATCATTGAGTAAGAGTTTTATTCCCGCTGCAGCGGTGGCGTCATGTTCTCTGTGGTCTGTCAGTCCAGCAAACCTCAGGTTGAATCCTGGAAACATCACATTGATTTATGTTGATTCTTTACTTTGGATGTTCTTTTTGAACAAGTTTAATAAATAAAAACTGTGTCTTGTGAAGGAAAAGAACATTTTTAAGTATAGGTATTAAAGATTCATGTGTAAAGGCTGACCTGTTATAAATACAATCAGTCCATTCAATTTTTAAGTTGTTCATTTGAAAAAAGACCATTATAATGTCTGAAAAATTGAAAGTGAAATTATACATAAATCTAGGCTATTTTTAATGTAACATAAGGTAGGTGCCTTAAGCTGTTAGCTTAGTGTTTCAGATTGACTAACTGTTTCGTTCAGAATAATTAACATTGTAATGTTTTTCCTGGCTTATGGAAGGTGCCTCTTATATTCCTTACAGTGTAACAGTGAATTTTCCTTTCTCGACATAACCTTGATTGTAGTGTTTTTTTGTGCCATATCCAGATAAAAAGTTTTCTTTGTTGAGCTGATTTAGGGACTGGCTCCTAAAAGCAGGTTGTGAAGTTTCACTGTCATGAAGTGTTACAGAGGACAGGCTCCTACTTTTAAAGTGCTATTACAAAATTATATTTTTAGAAAAGCTGCCAGATTGTTTTTAGGTTTCAATGAAGGTGACATTTTACCTTTAAATTAAACGTTTATTTGATTGAGTCCTGGCATATTTTACTAATAATTGAGTTATTTTGTGTCATATTTACATTGATATTACTAAACATGGGCAATGCTGCTTCTGCCCGTTAACATGACATGTTCTGCTACTGTAAAGTTACATATAAACATTTTATGAAAGTAGATATTTGGATTAGTGGAATTATTTACCTAATGAAAGAATTATAAGACAAGGCGTGAGGGCAAAAAATGATAGAAGGAAATGTTTTTTTTTTTTGCATTTTGACATAAACGTCAAAAGGTCGAGAGTAAAGTCCAACTTTCAGTAATAGTGCCAGAATCAGTAATACTCTTTTGTATATGGACTCAAAATAAGTTGTAACAAACCAACAACCCTTAATTTGATTTTTCCAATGATTGATAACTGAGACCTGTTTGTTCCCAGGTCCAATATTTGAAGTCCTCTAAAATGCAGAAACAGAAAAGCTTATGAGCTCCACAGACAAACTGTTGAACCTTTGGACGGGGTTATTACTGAAAGTGTTTTTAGAAAGTAGCATTGAGGGCTCAATGTGTAAAGAAAGAGAGATTTGCGTGCTTTGGATTCGATGTCTTCTTGATTCCTTTTCAGAGACAGATTTAAAGCTAGAGAACATCTAGGCTATTTGTAGCTGAACGTTTACCAATCAGACTGAGCAGAATCTCCGAGAGATGTGAAAGCTGTGACGGACGATAGGATTGAGTTTAAATGGGGAAATGTTCCTATGAAAGTGATGAAGAAAGCATGGGAAGTGACCACTGTCTTAGCAAGTGTTTATGGTAAACTAGAGATATCCAAAGTAATATTCTGTAGTTCTGTAGTCGCCTCTTAAAAAAAGGTGATTTAATAGGGGTTGTATCCGCACAACCTTAAATGGTTTGTGTTTCTGTTGTAAATACCTTCTGTGGTCTTTAGCACCTTGAAGATTCAAAATAACGCCCACAAGGGTTGTAGTAAATCATCTCTAACAGCATTGATATTACTTTGAGTAGTATGGCATCATATATAAAGGTGACCACAAAATGATAGAGCTAATGCTTATTCATGCTTGTAAATAGTGCATAAAACATGTGTGATTGTATGACTTTTATTTGACTATTTTTAGAATGATATTTCACTCTGGTAGAACATTTTGACTTTGTAAACCTTCTGCCCATGTCAGTTGTGGGGTTTAAACTTTTATCTCCGACTCTGAACGAGAAATAACACAGTGATAATTCAGAGTGACGCATTATTGGTTTAAATAGACACTTAAGTCACAGGGACTGGGGTCGTTATAACTGTCAGTATTAGTGATTCATAAAAAGGACAAAACATTAACGACATTTAAGGCTAGCGATAATGAGAAAAATATTATAATACACATGATTTTGCCCTTGAAGTGCATACATAAAAAAAATGCAGAAATCAGAGTGTAGACATTAATACAGACAGCTAATGTAGTATATGTAAAGCATATATGCAAAGTGTGTAATATGTTGTAAGAAATACATAAAGAGTTTGTTAAAAATATAACTATTATAAATATGTAACAAAAGATTTATTGCAAAATCAATAGACACATGTAGTCACGGGTGTTGTGTGTGTGAACAGAACGTATGTGTAAATGTCTCAAAACACTTGTAATCTGTACATTGTGCTCTCATCAATACTGCAGATGGAAACAACTTGTGAAAAAAGATGCTTAAACAGGAACTTTTGCAAAGTCCAAAACTCTTCTTCCAAAGTGAAATATCGTTTTAACATCTATTCACAGTTCCTCGTTACGTTTCAAATATGAAGCGATGTAAACAGATGTGTCTGTCAGTTCTCTAGATTGCATGACATGAAATCCTGATGACTGCAAAATATATTATATTATGATAAATACGCTGAGGAAGACATTCTTTACGTGAAACACTGAATATTGATGTGATGTGAAATAAAAGTTCTATGAAAGAAATATATGTCCACATTTGCTCTGTATGTTTGAGTTTGTCTGTGGGGGGGAGGACGCAGTGCATGCATGAAGCGAGACAGGTACAGATGTTTAAATGAATATCTGAATTATCTAATTTCATATCTGATCTCTAGCAACCTCAGTCGTCATGCAGTACCGGTCCGCATATTGTTCTTACTCTTGCAAGTAGAATAATGCTGGTATGAAACAAACTATTCATATTTTAGGAGTGTTGGTCTGATTCCAGCTTTGTCAGGTTAAGCCTCTTCTGAAGGATCAGGGTTGTCGAAGCTTAGTTTCAAAACTCTCCTGATCTGCTTTGAAAAAAATTCTAATGCCTGGTCATGTTTCCTGATCAACGGTTTTAATTGGTTCGAATTTTTAGGTTTTGAGATTTAGCTCTACCAATCCAGCAATTGTCTTGGAGAAGGTCAAACATATTTCATGCAAACTTTATGAGGTATGGTCATTTTAAGGTTTACTCTAAAAGGCGTGTGAAAAGAATTAAGACCTCACTTTTGAGCTTTGTTCAAACTTCAACAGTCTAATTGTGGAAAATTATAACTTGTGGAGTTATAATTTTCTCAAAATAAATAAATAAAATGTGACCAAATAGTAGAATTAAATTAATCTTTATTGCAGTACATTGATACGGGGAGCAGCTCTGCAGACTCGGGTGAACAAAGGGAACATCATTCGCTTTTATCGTGCGAATGTGAAGTTAAAAATTCTTAAACCATTCCAAGCTTGGTCCTTTTGGTTCAGACGGATGAGCAGGGACATCAGGCATGTTTCCATCATCTCGCACAGGGACTGCATCGGGGTAGAAAGGGAAACAACCTTTAATATTTGAATTGACAAGATTTGAACAAATGTTTTTTTTTTTATAAACCAGGGTCTTTGACATGTGTCAGCATTGTGTAGTGTGAAGCTGGCCATTGAGCGGCCCTACCAAGCAAGGAGGCAGAGGCAGAACGTCCAAATACAACCCGGTGTGGGCATTTATTACTCCTTGTGGTACATGACACAGCCACAGGTAGAGATGTTAGTCTCATGTGAACACAGTCACCAGCAACAAGGATCTCCCACACACCCAGGTTGCGGTCCAATAGTCCATTTAGCTTAGGAACCTTCCTAACGGAGTGAAATGACCCGGAAGTCCCTCAGTGGCAGCCATGATAAGTGCCGTTCGAATTCTCTAAATGAAAGGAAAGGAAGTTTCAAACTTCCTTTATGACCTCCTTTAGCTTAGGAACCACTGGACCTCCCTAACCTAAAGGAGAGGAGAAAATGCTGCCCCACAATGCCTTGCGGCCGCGGCATTTGCCTTGCCGTCACACAACAGTCGGCCGTTCACGGAAACAATCGATTATGAACGAGAAATGATATCATGAAAGTTACGGTGCTTATTAAGCCTTTTAAAACGTATGTGGTGAGTTGCCAAAGTGCTTTGTTTTGAACGTTCATCAGTATTATAATCAAAAAGAGAAATATGAACGTTAGTTTTTACTGAAATGATCAAATAAAGTCAACATTTCAGTCTTTACTGAGCTGTGTGGGGTTTGTTCAACTTTTAAAAGATGTTTGAATGGTGATATACACAGTGATAGATGTTAAGGACTAACGTTTATAATAAATACATTTGTATTGATTTTAAGAGCTTTTCATACAATTATACGTATTGGGATCATTTGTATTAATGTGGACCGGAGGGAGAGGGTGACGAGCATAAGTTTCACTTTCCTTTTTTATTTCAATTCCAACTTTGGTCATGAAGAATATGTTTCTCTGTTGTCCCTGTTCATAAAGCATAACAGCATCAGAGCACGGTGCAGAGTCTCTAGATGAGTTTACAGTAGTCCCTCGTTCTTATTAAACATCCATGTTGTAGTCCGCTGTATAGAAAACGGTAGTTTCCCCACAGCAGCAGACGCACATTTATGACCTCCGCTGGCGCATCATAAACACGTCGGATAGTGAAAGTGCAGTCGGATTCTCTAAAGTATCGCAGTCTCTTCTCCTAAATCCTTTTGAATTTTCCTATCCACTATCCCTTAACGTTTCACTCAGAGGTCAAGGAATAGACGATAGGGTTAGAATTTAGGAGCTGATTTTTGGACTATTCGACCGCAACCCCAGACTAACAGGAAAACAGAACCTAAATACACACAGGACTAATCAAACAAACCACAGGTGAGGAGGGAGGAGAAAACACAGGGCACCAGGTGAACACAATCACCAGCAACAGACAAGACGGGAGGGGGAACACTTTTCAAACTAAAACAGGAAACAGAGACAGACAAACTAAAACATAGACAGATCATGACAAATAGATGCATAAATTACATATATTCACATGCTTCCTGTGCAATGTTTTAGTGTGGAGCAAATTAATATACTTCGCCAATAATGAAGCTGTATAATCCGTAACGGAGACCGAGATCTATGGCCCCAGAGATCACCTCCGTTACATGTAGCCTTTTTCAATTACACTCAAATGATCAGAAACAATGTTTACTGTTTACCTGGGTAGTTGTACGGCACAGCTGAATTTATCATTGTCGAATACTTGCTGTATGGGCTGATGAATGGAAGAACCACCCCTATAATAATAATAATAGGAAAAACAAAGTATTAACCATATATACAGTATATTAGTTAGACTTTGTTATGAACTCTGTGTTTACATTGGTCAATTAACAAAAAAACATGGCTTGTAAAAAAAACTCATAAATAAACAAAAACAATAGAAAATGAGCAAACCGTACTCCCATTCGTGAGTTCTGATTTAAGTTGTATCCATTAACTTGCTCCTATCACACTTTATACAAAAACATCTCAAGGCATCAACTTGCCTTTTCTAAAATTATATTCAACCTCATTTGTACTGTTTGGTTGCTTGTATCAGTCTATGGACCATATCTGGGATACTTGCAATTATCTTTATACTTAATGTTGTTCATTCAGTACAGTATTTCCAAAGCAAGCTCGACAATGCTGTCTCTCTTTCTATCCCACACATGTCTGAGCTAAATGACACTGGTTACTTACCACACGCTGCAATAGTACCGGCGATCAAGACAATGGGCTCTTTATTCCAGAAGTTCTTCAGGAACAGTCCGATTGCTGCAGATAAACACAAACAGGTTACATCTTCCACAGCTGACAACCCACGGAAGCTAACGTTAGCCACCGTTAGCAACACATCAAGGTCACGTTTTAAGAGGCATTTCGAATCGAAACCATTGTTTTTAAAATAACCCGGAGGCATAAATAGGGTAGTTTAAAGTGCTTTAATTAATAAAGCATGCTACAGGAGGTATTTCTAAAAGCTGCAATGCATAAAAGAGGACCAAATAGTCACATACCCGCCATGTTGATCTTTGTAGTTTTAACTCCAGCAGGCGCGGGTGCTCATGGGAAATGTAGTAACTAACAACTGACGTATGATTTCTGCGCCCGTCGCACAAAAACATTCGTTCATCGACGAGAATGGAACGAAAGGACTACTCTTCCTTCGCTTTACGTTTGATGTTAGCTCAGTTTAATTTTAGAAAACACTCTTAGCTAGCCTGGCTGTTTACATCAAAGAATAATACACAGTCTATGCAGCAGTTTGACCGTTAAAACGGTTTGTAGAGGAGTTGTAACCCGTAGCAACTGCTGTTGGACCTTTCATTCATAAATGTAAGTCATGTTACTATGTAGATTGATGTATCCAGTGGTGGAAAGTACCTAAGTACATTTACTCAAGTACTGCACTTGAGTACACATTTGAGGTACTTATACTTGACCTATTTTCTTTTTATACTACTTTATACGTCTATAAAGTAGTATAAAAAGTACTACATTGCGAGCCAATTCTGTACTTTTTACATCACTACATTTATTTTACAGATGTATTTAGCAGTCACTTTACAAATTCATATTTTGACACACAACAAGTGTGTTTAAAAAAAAAAAGAATATATGGTATAGATTAAACCATCCAACATTATGTTTAAGTAACTGCAACCATGAGTGGGTTAACAGGAGATGAATTGGCAGCAAATTTGCTAAGAAGTTTTTTTAAATATTAAAATACTAACAATGAGTTATTTTACCCTAAATACTTTCAGTACATTTCCCTAAACTTACTTTAATACTTTTACTTAAGTGCCATTCTCAATGCAGTACTTTCACTTGAAATGTAGTATTTTAACAGTTTGTGTGTGTACTTTTACTCAAGTAAAGAATCTGAATACTTGTTCCACCACTGGATACAGCATGTTATCTCCTAGTGTGACAGTCCTTCATTGATAATAGCAGGGCTTTCCCTTCTGAGCGTTAACGTAACTCTAACCTACCTTCTGAGGTACTTGAATCCCTCCATACTATCATACTTTACATTTTATCTCCATTACATTTCTGAGGCAAATAGTGTACTTTTTACTCGACTACATGTATTTAATAGCTTCGCATAGATTTGCATATTTAGATTTTTTTTTTTTATACAAACTATAAATCAACCCTTATACGATTATAATGCATCACCAACAAATGATCCATTGATATAACATTATCATTCTGCATGATGCGTAATTTGGCTACTAGAAATGTATTTTGATGCTTATTCTTTTGTACTTTAACTTAAGAGTTTTAATGCAGGGCTATTTTTGCACTGGCATATGGCTACTTTTACTTCTTCCACTCCCTAAACGATCATCACAATTGGTGCTATTGTTAGAGGAGATTTGTACCTACACATATTGTATCTGCATGAATTGTATTATGAAAGCTTTTTAATAATAATCCAAAATCTTCTCTGTCTTCCTTCCCAGATGATGGAGGATTTCTCTGGTTTGGCTTTGCCTCCTCTCTTCGGTGGACACATCCTGGAGGCAGAGCTGGAGCCTGGTGGCGTGGAGCTGGGACCAGGGGAGGTAAAGCTAATGTTAATGTTGTAACGCCTGGTAGCTAGTGCTCCCTTTGCCACAAAGTCATGAGAAGTATTGCACATAGCAGTCTTTGTACTGATTGTATCAAATATTACCCGTTTTAACAACACCTTAGCTAGAGTAAGAGAGAGTAAATACACTATTTAAGATAATCTCTGTCTTTTGGGCCCGAAGCTCGAGTCTCACCCTTGATCTAGTTTAAATATACTCTGAATTTGACCTATGTATGCCACAATTTCATTGACATTTTATGATTGTGACAGAAATTATTTAATTAGTCTTTATTACATTATGACTTATATGTCCAAATATTTGAATTCAGAGTGTCTTATATGAAAGTTGTCATGTTTAGCTTAGTAGGTGGAGCAAGGATCTGTTGGGTTTTCTCCTGTTATTGTGTTACGTGTGGGAAAAACCAATAAATAAAGTGTTAAAAAAAAAAAGATCTGTTGGGTTTGGAGTACATTTCTGACTTTTTGTGTGCATTAATGACACAGAAAGGTTATTCAGATCAAAACAGAAACCATGATATGTTTCTCTTCAGGTGGAGCTGGGCCCGGGAGGCAGTGAGCTGCTGGAGGGGACAGAGCAGGACGATGAAGAGAGGAGAGCTCTTGATAAGAGGAAATATCTGGCTCTGAATAGGAGATGTAAAGACATTGAACAGGTGTGTGCAAGCTTACATATAATTGTGAAAGGGTATGCAATTAGCTCATATTTGTGTCTATTGTCATTAAGTTCCTTGTTACCTTAGTGTCAAACCAACACTCAATTCGAAAATAAAATGCAGGCACAGGACTGTCTATTCTTTTTGGAAATGCCGTTTGCAATATGATCTTTTTTTTTTTTTTTAACTCAAACCGGCCAGGCATGATGGTGTATTTTTTATTTTCAGGTGAATCAGAAGATTCTTGGTCGCCTTCATCAAGTACAAAGAATAACACGACGCTTGAAGAAGGAGAGACGGTACGAAACCTCTTTACAGTAAATCAGTTTCTACGTTTGCCCCCCGATGGTGCGTCTGAAGATTATGTTAATCTTGCAGGTTTCTCATGAAGACTTTAGATGCTCATGGGGACGACTACAGGAACGCCCAGCTCACTATACTTCTAGAGGTGAGAAAATGGATAGGTTGCTGAATGTGATACATTTCTAAAGAAAATAACCCAGTTTTTTTTAAATAATCATCTGCAAATTGATTGTAAATTATTTTCAATGCCAGATTTTGACCTAATTCACGAGAAAGAAAATGGTATTCATGTGTTTGACTAAAGCACTTTACCATGTACGGATTAACCTGTTATGGTGTATGGGGCAGAAATATACACCTCTCTTAAATGGAAAATTACTTTAGTATTTCCGTTGATATTTGAGTTTAGATGACCAAAACCCAATATATACACAAAGATGCCGGGTTAGTTTCCCAGCTGGTCTGCTGATTTGTTTAATGTACCAATAATAAATGCTCAAGCTTGTTAAATGCATTTTACATTTAAAATGTTTACCTTGTTTCAGGATGAGCCTGGAGTCCATTTAGACCCTGCTGCAGGAGTGAAGGATGACCGGCCTAACGGTGTGTCAGGTTCCTCCTCGTCTGCTGCGTTGCCTCATGCTGCGCTGCCAAAGAGGAAAAGACACAGAATACCACGGCAAGAAAAAGATAAAGACCAACAGGTAGGAGTAAAAACTATTTTGGACTGCTTTTTTCCATAGCTTTCGCTTTTATGCATCAGTTAGTTTCTTGAATGTTACTTTTGTGTGAGTGTGATTTGGATGATTATGTAGTTATGGAGGCATGAATGGTTGGTTTGAAATGCAGATGGCTGTTATAAATCATGCAATGTGTAACGCCTGGCCACATGCTCCAAATAGGGGGCAGCATTATGCTTTGGTGTATTGCTGCTACTAGGTCCATGAACTTTTATAATCATCAGTTATATAAAAACAAAAAACAACTAACTAACAGCAGGGCAAGGATACACAAAATACAATCAAACTTCTGTTTAATCCACTAACCAGGGTCTCTACAGCCTATGTTCACTTTGATAGTTGCTTTGAAAACTGCCAATTTGGAACTATTAATCAATGTATACAGACCATGAACCTTCAGCGTGACTGACGAGCCCTCCAGGGTTTATGTTGGACCGAGGGCAAACTGGACTCATGAAGAAAAAGTGTTACTACACGACAGCATGCTAATATCAGTAGATGTCTCTGCCACGCGATGTGATGTTTTTAAACTAAAGTAATGCCCATACATAACCTATTGATCCTTTAATGAAAGCACAGTTGATTTTCTGTTGACTGAGTGTGTGTCTTCTTTTCCCAGACTGAAGCAGACATGTCAGTGTTGGCAGAGAATCAGTTTGGAGAAATGCCCAGCCCGACCTCTCTGTCTCACTGATCATTGAACTGTGGCCCTGATGATGACGATGATGATGATGATGCAGAAGGAGCACACAGTTTCATTAACTCTTCAGTAGAAACGCTGCCTCTCCGCCGGGTTTTGCACTGTTTTAGTTTACATTGTGATCCGATTGAACCAATGTAAGATAAAACGATATGTTGTACACTTGGTACAAGTATTCATTTGTTTTGTATATTTTATTTTCCGTAGAAATATTTTGTACTTTTATTTAATAACGACACATAATTATGACCAGTGGCCAACTGCACACTGTAATACATGGGGCTGTTTGTTAATTATTTGATAAACTAGATACATTTATAGTAAACTTACAAACTTGTGTTTATTAATAGATTTCACAATTGATTCCCTGGATACTGTCATTGATATTATGGTTCATGATTTTATTTCAGAACCTGCTGAAATAAATTACTATTTGGCAATTGGACTGTCTGTTTTTCATGTTTTTATTGTCAACATTTTTAAAGTCTGCATTTAATCATGTTTGCTGATGTTGACCAGAAGCAGACGATCCTTTTTGTCAATGCAACTTTTCTGAAATTTGATTTATAGTGCAAGTGGATATTTCTGGCAGTATGTGCGAAAAAAACACTTTTCAGTTGATTAATGACTTAATGATTTATTAACACGTTTTCTGAAATGTATTGTAAACCCCCTATATAGATATGTTTCAGAGAACAATTGTGGATGTCTGATTTCAGGTTCAGTTTTGTTATCTTGTCCATCATACTCCATCAGGACGCTCAGCCAATGACCGAGCCCTACTCTAGCGGATATCTTTGAGTGACAGACAGGAGCTCTGTCCAATCAGATTTCATAGATTTGATTTAGGGCGGGGTCTAAAAACGGAGGTGGGATTTTAGCTACCGTCCATCTTCAGCTACATTACAGTGAGCGAGCTTGTCGAAAAGAAAACACAATTTGGAAGTAAAGAAGACTTTTTGGAATTAGTTTTGGCTGTATTTGAAAAAAGACAAACGAAAGCCCATACCATAGGTAAATGTCGCATACAGCTATACATGTACATTCTCGGGTTGACCCAGTTTCCCATTTTCCTAAATTTGGCTAGCAGGCTAGCTAGCATTTTATGCATTAGCTACTCAGGCAGTTAGCCATAATAGCTAGCAGGTTAAAGATTAGAACGGAATCTGATAAATTGTGCATTTCATAACGCAAGCCCACCATATAAAAGCTATTCTGGACCCCACAATTATGATGCATGAATATTATTTCCATCCATCAGTGTGCTCCGTGGTACTTGTTTTGAAACGGGCCGGTTGGTACCGAGCGAGGTGGACGAGCTAAGATACTGGCAGCTAGTATTAACGTTAGCTGGCTAGGTGGCTAATTTTAGCTGACAACCATGTTTGTCATAGGAGATCAGCTACGTTGAGTAAAATATTGCAATAGAACAACGACCATACAAAAGCTCTGGTTTAAAGTATTCTTTGATTCGTTAGAGATAACATTATTTGTGCTGCTAAATATAACTGTCCAGCCAGCTGGAGGTAACGTCAGCTTCACTCTCTGCAAACCGATGCATTGATGCTCTGTTGAGAGGATGTGGGGTTTTTGAATGCACATTTACTTTACATATTTGTCTCCGTGGCAGACGGAATGTGGACATTGTCGTAGTCAGAGCCATGGCTGACAAGAGAAAACTTCAAGGTAAGACTGTTGGTGATGCTCATCAGTGAGGAGGATGCTCATGATCCATCACACTGCCCAGCATCCTGCACAGAGACATACACTGACCGCAACTACAAAAGTTGTTGGTGTTGCACAGATTAACACTATGTTGTTGGACCACATATTGATTCTCCACAGGTGAGATCGACAGATGTTTGAAAAAAGTAGCTGAAGGTGTGGAACAGTTTGAAGACATCTGGCAAAAGGTAAGAGATCTTTGCATTTGTTTGGTACTCTATGATAAAACTACTATTACTACTATACTATTTGATCATATGGATGCTGCAAATACCAAAATATCTTTGTTTATTTTCACAATTTAAGCTCCATAATGCAGCCAATGCAAACCAGAAGGAAAAATATGAGGCTGACCTCAAGAAAGAGATAAAAAAACTACAGGTGAGATAAATTAATGAACACGCATTTTCTCTCACATTGTTTCTTTATCTGTACTCTTGTTAACAGTTATTCAAATTGCTATTGTGGTTCAATATTTTCCCCGTCTGTCCTCTTCCCAGCGACTGAGAGATCAGATAAAAACATGGGTGGCCTCAAACGAGATCAAAGACAAAAGGCAGCTAGTCGAAAACCGCAAACTAATAGAGACGGTATGTTTTCCATCTTTTACTTGTCCTGTTTATTATTGTTTTAGTATTGTATAGTAACTTAACATGCCCTATGTCATGTTTCTTTCCTCAGCAAATGGAGCGGTTCAAGGTGGTGGAACGTGAAACAAAAACAAAAGCCTACTCTAAAGAAGGCTTGGGGCTCGCTCAGAAAGTGGATCCAGCTCAGAGGGAAAAAGAGGAAACGGGACTGTGGCTAACGGTAATACATCCACTATTATCTATACCTATTGTACATTTAGGAGGCCTAATATTTCCTCATAGGCAGTTTGATAAAACTGTTTTTTTGGGAAGCCTTTTCTTTGAATCCATTAACGCTCTTTTCTTTTCTCTCACCCCCAGTGTACGATAGACACTCTAAATATGCAGGTGGATCAGTTTGAAAGTGAGATAGAATCTCTTTCAGTTCAGACAAGAAAAAAGAAGGGCGACAAAGATGTAAGTCCTTCGTCTCATTTTCAATATTTTGTGCAGTTAAATACAATAATAATGACTGTGGATATCTAGTCTGTTCCTCTAACATTTTTAACACAAACTACACACATGCTTTGTGTCTTTCATGATGAAACAGGATCGCATTGAGGAGCTCAAACGAATGGTTGAAAGGCATCGATTCCACATTCGCATGTTGGAGACCATTTTACGAATGCTGGACAATGACTCTATAGTGGTGGATTCAATCCTGAAGATCAAGGATGATGTTGATTACTACATCGACTCGTCTCAGGACCCGGACTTTGAGGAGAATGAGTTCATCTACGACGACTTAGACCTGGATGACATCCGTGAGTAGAGAGCACTGTGTGATGTTACCCTGATGCATTTATCCAGACAACAGATGTGTTATAATGGAAACATCTGTCCCTTGTCTTTGTCCTGTCTTTTCTGTAAACTGCAGCATTAGTGGCAACTTCTCCGTCGGGTCAGGGCCCTCTGGATGATGAGATGTTCCTGCAATCCTGCAGCACTCCCACTTCCACAACCTCCTCTTCACCCATTCCTCCTTCCCCGGCCACTTGCACTGCTGTAAGTATTGTGTTTGTAGCCTGAACACCTGGGTCAGTATGTTAAAGGGATGCTGGGTAGAAAAAGCACATTCTGACAACATTTTGAAAATATCTTTCTTTAAAGTTTTAAATCTTCTATAAGCCTCATTGTGTTGTAATCCACTGACTAGTTTGCTGAATCAACATTTCAAAAGTGGATTGTCATATCAAGGTATCTTCTCCTATAGGAGAGCTCAGAGGACGATAAGAAAAGGGGACGCTCGACAGACAGTGAAGTTAGTCAGGTGAGAGGCTCTCTTCTGTACTGTGCCAGTAGACAAACTGTTTAGTGCCGCGCTGTTCACTCTTGGTCCTGAGAGGCACAGAGGCTGAAGGATTCTGGTTGGAAATGGATAAAGCTTTTTCTCTGTGGGACCATGGCTGGAGACTTTTAATTTAGTTTGTAGCATCATCTGCATAAATGGAAGTACATCATTCCCATTACACTTCTAGTTCACTTCTTACAACTGAAGCTGCCCTCTGAACAGTTTTGTCTAAAATACTTTTTTCTGGTGTCCTTTTCAGTCGCCTGTGAAGAACGGCACCCCATCCTTGTTATCTTCCTTCTCGTCCTCCACGACCTCGGGGTCCTCCTCGTCCTCCTCCCTCGTGTCCATGGCGAGTGTTATCGGAGGCATTCCCACGGTTCTACCCAGCTGCAGTCTCATAGGGAGCTTCAGCAGTGCGGTGCAGCAACATCAACCTGCACTACAGCAGCAGCCTCTGCCACCAAACCAACCGCAGCAGCAACAACAGCAACAGCCACCTCAGACAAAACCCTCTGTCCCCTCAAACAACACCCCCAGCCCGCCCAGCTACCCCCTCCTCCCAGCCTCACCTGCCCCCTCTCTCCCCACGCCCACCACACCCATTTCTTCAACTCCCATCTCTCAATCACAGTTCATATCCATGCCCACCCCGGCATCCAGTTTGGGACTCGGGCTGAGTCTGGGTTTGAGCAATATCGGCCTGACGGGGACCAGCAGTGCCAACCAAATGTCTGGTTTGGGTCTTAGCGGCCACCACTCCCCCTTAAACACAATGGCAGGGCTCATTTCAGGCTCCACCCCGGCCCCCTACGCTCAGGCAGCATCAGGAGGTTTGGGTTTGAGCAGCATCACTCAGTCCATCATTTCAGCGGAGAGCAGCACCTCCATCCCCCCCTCTGGCTCCAGTGGAGTCACCACCAACGGGGCGGGGTTGGGGCTCGGCTTGCTTGGTTCCAGCCCGGCCCACAACTCTTTGAGTGCGAGTATTCTGAGTTTGGTTCCTGGGCAAAATATAGCCCCCGGTGCCTCGCAGCTGCCCCCGAGTTCTGTCAGCACGACACCCGGAGCAGTTGGCATGATGGGAGGCAATGGAGGGAATGTCGGCGTGGTTGGAGGCGTGGTTGGAGGCGTGAATGCTGCTCCTGCGCGACCACCAAGTGGCCTGAAGCAAAATGGAAGCACAAGTATGTTAACTTGTTGCGCTTGGGCTTGTGTTACTCATCTGTTTAAGTCAACATTGTCTTCAGAAAGGATGTTCTCTAACCTTTCCCTCCGGCCCTCAGGTTACAGTGCTGTAGTGGCAGAGAACTCGACAGAATCAGCTCTAAGCACACCGAGCCAGTCACAAAGCAGCCAGCCCTCATCTCTCAGTTCTTCAAACAGTCAGCCGTAAGTTTTTCATATTCACTCAATCACTTATTCCTTACATGATAGTTGTTGTTTATACTTACTTTAACAACATATATAATATTAACATTGAGGGGTTAACTGTGAATGTGCATGGATAAGATGTGTGGGGAATCATAGTTGAAGGAAAGCAGCTGTGTGGAGTCAGTTTGGGCCAAAAGTACTTGAGTTGTTTATGATATTTGCAGCTGCAGTTATAATAGAAACATGGATGGAGAAAGAATTGAGTGGAGGACTTCTAAAGAGTGTTTATGTCTATTATAGTGTGCTTGTGCATGTTCCTGTTAGTAATAACTTGTCTCTGTTGTTCCCGCTCTGCTGCAGGATGGACAACGGCTCCAGTTTAATCAGCTCCATCACCCTGCCTCCCAGCTCTCCGTCCCCCTCGTT